AAATACTCAAGATTCTTGTGATCGGTGACGACGTCCACCGGATCACCTGAGCCTTCCAGATAATGACGCCAAGCTTTAAAGGCCTCGAAGATGGCCAGTAGCTCTTTGTCGTGTGTATCGTAGTTGAGTTCAGCCGCGTGAAGTGTTCTGGAAAGGAAGGCTAGAGGATGAATTTCACCGTCAGCATATTGGATGGAAAGAATAGCCGCAATGGCGTAGTCAGAAGCGTCGGTCTCCACGATAAGTGGGCGATTCGGCTCCCAATGGGCCAGTATCGGCGCAGAAGTAAAAGCGGTTTTGAGATTTTCGAAGGCCTCTTGACAGCTTTTGTCCCAGATCCAGGGAGCGCCTTTTCGGGTAAGCCGAGTCATCGGCACAACGATATCGCTATAATTATAAATGAAACGACGATAGAAATTTGCAAAACCCAGGAAGGACTGAATGTCCTTAACCTTCCTCGGGACCGGCCACTCTAGAACTGTCTGAACTTTCTCTTTGGACATGGTTAATCCGTCGGGAGAAAGAATGTAACCCAAATACTCAACAGTATCCATATTGAATTCGCACTTCTCGGGATTGGCGTAAAGCCGATGATGGCGTAACCGCCGAAGAACTTCCTTGACGTGTTCTCGGTGTTCTTCTGGCGTATCAGAGTAGATTAGAATATCGTCCAAATAGACGATGACACAAACATCGAGCATGTCAGAGAAGATGTCATTAACAAACCGCTGGAAAGCCGCAGGGGCGTTCGTAAGGCCGAACGGCATAACCTTCCATTCGTAGGAGCCGTAGCGGGTCCGAAATGTGGTCTTCCATTCATCACCTTCAGCGATTCTGACTAGATGATAAGCGTGAGCGAGATCCAATTTGGTGTATATTTTAGCTCTTTTCGGAGCGTCGAGAAGATCTGAAATGAGTGGGAGTGGGTAGCGATCCTTTTTGGTGATACGATTGAGTCCACGGAAATCGACGCAAAGGCGAAGCTTGCCGTCTTTCTTCGGGACAAAAGGACCGGAGCGCCGTGAGGAGAGGATGATGGGGTGATGGCACCAGTAGCCAGCTGTTTGTCAATAAAGTCTTTAAGGGCAACTAGCTCCTTTTCAGACAAAGGGTAAATACGGCCGAGAGGCGGCGAAGCGCCTTCTTCCAAGTCAATCTTCAGGTCGTAAGGTCTATGTTCAGGAAGTGAATCTGCAGCAATCTCGTCGAAGACGTCTGCAAACTCTGCGTACTCTTCTGGAATAGAAGGATGGAGTGGAGGGACAGTAGGAGTGGTGGAAGAGCGGTCGGCGGCGCGGGCCGCGACCTCTGAGTGGATAGCACGAAGGAGTATAGGTTCCATACCAGCGTCCTTGCAAGCTCTGTTAAAGACTGCAGCACTCACCAGTGCAATGTCAACCTCGGGAGTTTCCAGCTGAGCAGCGAATTGAGAGACCGTAGGATAAGAGTAGATGGGTTCAAAAGGGAATTTGGACGAAAGGGGCTTGGCCCGTGAAGTCCGAGAGCGGGAGCGAGAGCGAGAGCGAAGTGAGTCCCCAGGAGGGGTCTCCAGAATTGTCGGTGAAACCGACGGCGAAAGTTCCGGTAGCGGAACAGCGACCTTTGCATCAACAGTGTTGACGGCAGAAGGCACAGACGTCTGTGGAGAATCAAGGTGTGAAGTGTTACGGAACGTAATGTTTCGAGATGCCCAGTCAATCAACGGATTGTAGCGGGATAAGAAACTGTAACCTAGTACTGCTTTACAAGATGAATCTAAATGTGTAACATAAAAGGGTAATAGAAGCAGCTCGCCGGAAGGGAACCGAACGGCGATATTCGCCATATCGGTAATGGGTTTAGAAGATAATGAACCATCAAAGAGACGAAGATTAACAGGAGAGATTTTGGTCGTAGGAATAGAATTTTGTGAAACATAACGAGTATCAATGAAAGAGTCAGTAGAACCAGAATCAACAAGAGTAGGAAATTTGAGAAGAGCAGAGATAGGTTCGGCCGGCGCGGCCGAATGGGACAAAGGAAATTCAGTAGTTAATGATATGACCAGAGATCGTTCAATGGAAGAAAGAGCGGACGCGTTGAGATATAACTCCCCAGGTGAGGTACGAACCTGATCAACGCAGCTCCCGTTTCGTACCGGGGAACAAGAGCTGCGGATTAGTTTTCCGATTCCTCTTCAACAACCTCAATGGTTGCTTCGGGGGTTTCTTCAACCTCGGCAGCGCGGCCCTTCGATTCCCGGGCCTTTCGCTTGTTACAGTCAGCAATCTGATGCTTACCACCGCAGAAGAGACAAAGGTTGTTCTTCATCCTTCTTTCCCGTTCGGAGGGAAGTACTTTACCATCTGCTCCTAGATGGTTGAACGCGGGGCGCTGACCGCCGGATTGGCCGGAATTCGCAGAATTCTGGGGCTTACCATTGTTGTTAGGCTTACCACCAGAGAAGGGTTTAGGTTTCGGCGTGAACGGCGCCGAAGAGCCCGAAGGCTGAGAATTGTTTTGCTGGTTAGTAGAACCAGTCTTGAAGTCCGAGGAACCCTTCTTCGGGTTCCGAGCAATAAATGGCTTACCAGCCTCACGCTTCTTAGTTTCTTCGCGCTTCCAGTAACGGTTGTCAATGCGAAGAACTTCTAGACGATAAGCGGCGAGCGTCGTCGGTTCGGGCAACCGCGCCATTTCGTCCTTGATGCGTTCGGCCAAGCCTCGTCCATAAGCCCATTTGAGGGCGGCAGAATCCCAGTTGGTGCTAGCAGCCAGGGTGTTGAACCGAATGTTGTATTTCCGGATGTTCTCGGTTTCCTTCATCTTAAGGTTACCGAGGGCGTCCTCGGCCTCGCCTTGGGCATCATAAACGCCGAAATTGTCCTGTAACTCCTTTACAAGGGCCGTAAAGGACGACGTCCAGGCCGGCAGCGAGTCGAGGTCCGGATCGAGGATGTCAGGGACAAACCATTCTTTGGCTGACCCACTGAGATAGGAAAGAGTATAATTCACCTTCCGTTGGTCGGTGAAGTACTTTGGACGGTCATTGAAGACCAGGGCGAGATTGACGAAGAACGTCTTGAGTTTTCGGGGATCCGAACCGTCGAATACCTCGGGTTCCTTGACCTTGCTCTTCGATTCAGAGCTGTCAGAGGGACGGCCGAGTGCGGCGAGAACGGTACCGAGGGTTTCAATGGAACCCTTGAATCCCGAGAGAAGATCCAACATAGCTCGTTGCTCGTTGGGGATGTCAGGAGAATTAGGAGAATGAGGACCACCAGGTCCACCAGGACCACCAGGTCCGCCGGGACCGCCGGGACCGTCAGGCCCACTGGGGTCACCAGGCTCACCACGCGGTAAACCGCCGGAATCGTCATCCAGATCGTCATTGTTGTTGTCGGCACCCGGATCGTCGGGGTCGACAGGAGGGTCTTGATCATCGTGATCACCAGTATCCAAATCGAAATGAGGAGGTGGGTCACGAGGAGATTCAGAAACAGCTCGACGTTGGGGTTGTTTTCCCGTACGGCGGGCTATGGCTTGGAGAATTGGAGAATCAATTCGAGCAGTTGACCGGCCCCGAGCCGGAGCGACCACGGGGGGTTGTCCACGGCGAGGGGTCAAGACTTGGACAGGTTGTCCGTCACCGGTGTACAAAGTGCTGTACTCAAATTGCTGATCTTCTTCCATGGCTTCAGGAAGAGTTGACGTAGTAGGAACTGTGGCTGGACCGAAACCGCGATTACGGCGACGTGGTTGACCGATGGCAGAGATAGAGTCGGAGAATGGGGCAAATGATTGAGCTGTGGTGAAGAAAGTGTTTTCTTCGGAATTAGCTCTGGATTGAGCTCGAGTTTTCGGAGGCATAAAAAATGATATGTCAGTACGACGTTACGGATTGAGTTTAATTATACTGTTAAGATCATGCAACCCGTGTAACCGTGCCAGAGGTCACAGAGTGTCTAAGTGCGGAATACGAATGGGACAGTAGTGAAGTTATTAACAACACCGCCGTTACGCCGTATGTCCCCGGAGGTCGAGAGTATAGAAGAGAGGAGCTGAGTAGCAGCCAAGTCGGAGCGGCGATAACGCCGGTGACGAGGAGCGAACCAGAGAACGTATAAGTCCTAAGGTAGAGTAGAGAGAACTTCAAGGCAGTAAGCCTGAAGACTTAGAGGAGCGCCGAGTGAAAGAGGGAATCTAAGTCGATAATTAAACTGAGGAACTACAGTAGCGTACAGGCAGTATTTATATCTACGGATCGGCGCAGCGGTGCGGAGCGCCAGACTAACTACTAGGAGCTATACGAGTAGTACCTGCAGGGTAGAGTAAAAGACAATAAGAAGGGACTAGAACGAAAGGGTATGTGTAGCGAGAAAGAACAATAAGAGTGAGATAACAATAAGGAGCAGATCTTCGGAATCCCGAGCGGCGGAATGGAGGCCCGCGGCATGGACTTGACATTAGGGAAGAGTACGAAGCTTCAAAATGTACGGCAGTTCAATCGGCATACCTAAGCAGCTAGCTGGACAACTTCGTCTGGAAAGAGTTGTATCAATTGTCCCTCCATTTGCTATAGAATGCAGTGTGTACTGTACGTCTTAACTGAAGAATTTTTCGCGCCCGTGACCTATGCGATTTTATGCAGCTCTACGATTTTCTCCTCCCCTGTCTCCCCTTCGGGCACACGTACGACTATTATGTCCAGATTGTCCACAGGAGGTACACGTTGGCTGTCAGCGACTCGTTGCAGCCAGCTGTTCATGCAGAAATCGCTGTAGAATAGGGTTTCCTGGCACATGCGGAGGAATCGACTGCTGGCCATCTTGAAGCGGAGAAACTGCTGAAAAAGTCGGGGGATAGGGTGAGGGTTCTCTAGAAAGCATAGGACTCTGAGCCGGAGCTGGCGTTCGAACGCCGTTGCGTGTAGAGCTTCGGCGAGTGGCCTCGATTTGCGATTGAAGCTCTCGGGCAGCTCCATCCTGGATAGCGTCGTCTCGGTTCAGAGGAGGAAGAATAGGCCGAAAAGCTTGAACATAGACACCGCAGCGCATTTGATTTGTGTTGAGTAGACGGTCGTCGGGATTGTAGTGGTGTGTGCGAGGCAGACGCTTTTGCGTCATCTCACGTTCTTCACGGACAAGACGAAACTCGGAAAGATCACAGCCGTTAGCTTGGCAGCGGTGCTGTGTATTGACTGGGCATAATATGTTCTATGAATGTATTTAGGTATTAGAGGAAGAGAATCTGAATCAAGAGGAAGAGAAGCCTGACCTCAGCTTTGATCAAAGTCCACTGCCCTGGTCGAAGGCGATGGAGCTGATAGGTGTCATCAACAGGGCCTAACACCCACAGCTTCAGAAGAACGGCTGCTTCTGTGCCAGGTAATGCCTGCAGTATTTCATACACTTCTCCGACACAAAAACGTTGATTCGGTTGCAGATCATGAGGTTTGACTACAACAAATTGACCCACAGAATAGCGTTCGAGTGAGACAGAGATGGCCTGTTCATAAAGATGGAACTGTCTGTTTTCGGCGCCGTAGATAGCATTCGGGAGCTTTTCCATGGCTAGTACCTGTGAAGAAGGCTGATCCAATTTAGTGGACTTAGTGTATACACAGCGTCCTAAATACATAACTATTCAGGAGGAGGTGAATCAGAAATATAGGTGGGACATACCTGGGCAAGGTTTTTCTTGCTCCGTTACATTGAGCCCATATGCACGAACTACTGGACTTTGTGATTTCCCTAGACTGGTTTGTGCAAGCTTGAGGGGAAGAGGGCCTGCACAGACCCAATGCATGGGGTCATCGCTGCATGACAAGTGATTTGACGAAGATGAACTGTTTGTGGAGATTTCGGGGGGGTTGAAGAAGACTCCTCCGTGGAGAAGATGTCGAATTCGACTGCATTGAGCAAAGCCCCGACCTATGTCCCGAGATGGAGCCTGGTGGTTGCTGTGAACACTGTGGTCACGGATAATGGCATTGAATGACTCGAAGCCTTCGGTTGCATAGAGGATTGCAGGCCCGAAACGACGTATATGCATGGGTAAGTGTTTGATGATGTGAAATTTTGGTTTGTTGAACCACCGCGGCGTCCAATTGGCAGCACAATCAAGGAAGCGGTTGATAGCAAGCTCAAGAGTTGCCTGCAAATCGAACTTAGATCTATAACATCATAACCAGAGAAGTGAAAACCAACCAGATATTCATCTAAATGATTGATTACTGGCTGCCAGACAAGTGGAATGAGCGCACTGAGCGAAAGCCAGGCTTCAAAACATTCTTTTGGAACAAGGTCATAAAGGACAAAAGGAGCAACTTGGGCAATAGCACGAAAGTCTCGGCCAGTGAGAGATCGCGCATACTTGACCAGTGTCTCACCCGCCAGCGGAGCAAGACCCATTGACGAGACATCAACTGAAGCCAGTCGATTAGTCAAAATTTCCTTCTGAGGGTCACTGAGGCGAGCAATGGCATCTCGCCAATAGTATTTAACAAACCCAAGAAGAATGACATGCAGGATCTCCACTGGTGTATCTCGATGAGGGTCCAGTCCTTGAGAAAGATTCATTTGCACAAAAATTCATATCATTAAGCAAGCAACACACACCTTTGATTCTCCATACAGGGCTGAAGACATTTGGTTCAGATGGAATGTTCTCTGCCACAAAATTGTCGACAAGTCTTTGTTTCTGAGAAGCGGAGGTATTCCCAGGTATCTTTGCCACAAATGAAACTATCTGCTGATTGAATCTCTCCAGAAATGTGTCTTTAACGCCTGTCTGAGTAACGATTTTTTTGGACTGAGTCTTGCCATTATATTTCTGGGAAGCAATAAATATACTGCGGAGTGTTTGGGTTGTATTCTCTGGAGATCGTGTCTCATTCATCTGAAATGTCTTGTCAGCGAAGCACAGGAAGTAATGCTGCCATGCAAATTTACCCCGACAAACCGTTTTGCTCTGGCAATAAGCTCCTGCATAGTTTCTTTGCAACGACCACGTTTCTTAGTACCCTCGTCACCTGTATCGGAGAGATCTGACTGAACTGAGACGTTATCGGAAATAGGCCCAGGAGCTGGAACAGCTGTCTCGTCTTCTGCATCCCGTCCCTTCACAAAGCAACAACGACAGAAGAACTTGCCGGCAAGGCCAACGTGGCAAGCAAACTCACTTTGCATGGGGTTGTCACCCAGCATTGCCAAAACCACCGGTATTATTAGCACCATAGCCTGACGCTGAATATCCCACACCCATATACCTTCCAGCTGACCTTGTCTACGGGGAGGTTTGGGTCAGTAAGTGGTGCAATAACCGTTGGCTGCATTTATTAAGACATACTCAAGCTGTTTCGTGATCCCATCCAGCATCTCCAATGGAGGCGCTAGGTTGGATGTGCAAAGAAAATGAACATTGCTTTCTTGATGAGCATATTCTCGAGGAAGACCAGCGGCGGTAAAGAGAAAGGAGTTATGTTTGTTCCATTTCTTTGAGACATTCCCGGATGTGTCGTCGCAATACAGCCACATTGCAAAGTTCAAAACCTCGTGACCTTGAGCTAAGACTCTCCAGCGGTTTGCAAACCCATGCTCCGCAGAAGTAAGTGTCCAAGGCTGAATGCCTTGGTTGTCATTCGAGTTGGTGGTATATACTCCTGTGTGTAACCATAAGCTAATTGAAGAACAAGGTTTAAGCGAAATGTTACAGCACCGAATATGTTGCGAGGATCAGGTATTCCATCCAAGTCATAAGATTCAACCAGATATGGGAACGAGCTGAGAAGACGAGAAACGGGAAATTGGATGGTCTGATGTTGGTGTACAACAAAGCCGCGTCCACTGAATGTTGAACAAATTTCGACGCTCCAAGCTAAACCAAAAAATTGTTGCTCTGGACCTCCCGGAAGGCCTTGACTGCGTGTAAGCCAACGAAATGGAATTACATATGTACCGTCATCCAATTTCGCGAGTTCGTGTATGAAAAAGTCCTGGCCACCAACACGTACCATAGGCGAGGAAAGGTCAGGATCCAGGGTTCTCCAAGCATCTGCTTGCCAGGCATGCTCTACATGCTGTCCACTGTCTTCAGGATAGTGGCGGATGTGTGGTCGAATTTTGGGGTTGCCCATTTCCTATTAGCAAGGATGTTTGAGCACAAGTCTTGTTGGTAACTGTACTCTCACCTGACGAATAAGTCCAGCAAGCTGATTAATATAATAAACATGCCCAAGTGGTCCTTTCTGACGCTCGGTCTTGATCCCACAAAGAGTTTGTAGATATTCGCCTACACTCTTTGCAGTGTCAGTTGAAGGTGCATTATCGACTCCGAATGAGGCAATCCCCCAGAGAATGATGTCCATTTGTGCATCTGAAAATAAGGAACGAGGCAGATGACGGAGCACATCCAGGATACATGTCTATGTTATTTTAGTATATTGAAACACAACTTGAACAAAATTGGTGTTCACGAACTTCTTTATCAGACCAGGGGAACCATGCAGGGTTATCAGTTCGCTGACGACGACGAGGTCGTGGAGCCCCAAAGTTAAGTAAGGTTCCGAATTCATCAGGGACTAAACAACAACGAATTGTAGAAGGTATTAGAAGGAAATCATCACACATACCATCAACATCTACTTCGTCTCGCTCTTGAATCTCTGGCTCTGAGTCATCTGATTCACTATCTTCCAGGAGCCAGGCATGTAATTCTTCAGCGAGACGTGCCACACCACGCTGCTCATCCGAAGCTTGTAATTCGGTATCTTCGCCCAAGTTAAAATGAGCGGAATAATCGATAGATTGGCGGGATAAATCTGGACCATGATTGTCCACTTCGATGGTATCGAAATCGAAAAATTCCCCAGCTGGAACCTCTTCAAAAGAGCTTCGGTATGGGGCCTCGGACAACTCTACAAGAAGCTCTCGTAATGGAGGAGAAACTCGGCTTGACGTTTCAGGATTGGGGCTGAATGGATTGGGAGGGGTATAATCTGAATTCTCTTGCTGATATCTGACTGCTTGTTGGTGATTCTGACGGTCTTCATGGCGGTGTACCGCTGTGGAATCTCTCCAAAGCTGATCTTCACAAACCAGGCATGTCCATTTTTTGTGGTTGATCCCACTGCCTGCTTGCCAAACTAATTCCATGTTAAGAGAGCTCGTAGAAGGAGATAAGATCTACTATACAGACACTCTGGATTCTTGAACGGCTTTGGAAGAACCATTCTATATAGGGGCTTGTAGTAATTCACAGAGGGTCCTTTCGAATTTTAGTAGTATAGACAGAGGAGAGTCGTGAATTAAGAGGGACAAAAGATAGATACACGTCTTGATCTAAAAGCTATCCACTTAAAATCATGAAATCAAATTGGATGAAACTTCCAAAATAATTGGATATGATAAGATATGCTATGTGGAAGGAAATGTTTGATTAGAGAGCAAATCCGGGAATTTAGTTCGGCATGGTTAAACCGCCTTTGGAAGCAATCTATGTTTAAGCCGTTACAGTGTACCTCAATTTCAAAAAAATTCTTGTACATGTTTTTTTGTTCCAAAAATACATCGGGTTTGATGAATAATTGCCTGGTCTGCGCGCGCCTATCGCGCGGTAGGCATTTGAAGGTCAGGTCGCCTACCAAATGACCGTCGGCGACTAGTCACAAAAAAGTGACCATGACCAAGTGACCGTCCAACACTGATTCTCACAACTTGCAAATATGAACCATTTTCCTTCCAAACCTGAACTTCCCCCATTATAAAGCTTTAAGACACTTGAAGTCAATGGCTTGTTCTATCCTTTTTGACATTTTCCGTTTGTGTTAAGCTTAGTATTAAGGATCCCTTGGTGCGTGATGTTATGTATTCCAGCATGGATATGCTACTGACTTTACACAATCTCTTTGATGCAGCGCATAAAATATGTACTTCGGAGGTTTATACTGAACCAGCGGATGACAACAACAACGGTCCCTGCCAACATCACGACGACGTTCCCCACGTTCTCCAACACCAACGAAGACCAGCACGGGCAGCAACAGACTCCGGAATGACCAAGGCAGAAACCACGTGTAGCATCTCCGTCCCCGTCCCGCTCTGCGGCTCCGGTGAAATGCTACAACCTCCATGAACAACGGCCGGCTGTTGCTGGAGTTGAACAACGACAACAAAGAGGTCTCATTTCTTCTGGATCATCTTTGCCCAAGATCTCAACCCAACCTCCTCATCGAACTTCGAAGTAATACTTACATCACTCTTCCACATCTCCACAGGTCCCCTAGGTTTACCCCCATCTACGTGGCATCATATATACTCTCGTATTCCTCGGGAATCACAAGCTTCTCTGAGAATCAATTATTGTTCTTGCTCCTCTAACTCCTTGACAGGCCGTAGCTGGTATCAGGACATCGGTGCTGGTGTCTGCCAAAGTCAGACTCACTCTTGACACATTGAGTTGAGGCGATACTTACAAAATGGACGATACTATCTACAAGACAAGCTAATTAATTCATGATTTCTCATAATACATAACACGCACAGAATTACTTGAAAGGTTTTTCGAAGTATTTCTTGGTCCTCGGACAAAACCACTCTGGAAACACATTTTTTTTCTTCTCAATAGATCGAGAGCGAGGTGGAGATATGTACGTAGTGTTTATGATTACATATCTGACCACGGAGTTTTCATACCATTGACAGGATTCATGGATCACCCTTCGAAGAACTGACCTTTCCCAACTGGTCGATTGTCACTACTTACTTATGTACATCCATCTCGGCCAGGCTATATTTAAATTCGAGGGTTACATTTACAGTGACAACGAAATTGGAACTGGAATTAGGCGATGTCAATGAGCTGCCAGGCTTCAGCATGGTATTGGCAGTCGGCTGGGGTTGAGGCGTTGAAGCCTCGTGTTTATCTAGGTATGTAGGAAGGTATGTTCGTCTTCCTTCGAGTTTTTTCTTCCTTCTTCCTTCTTCCTCCCTCCTTCCTCCCTCCGAGAGATTAGACACTCGATTCAACGAACAGTGGTTCGTGCTAGTTATAATGGAAGTTCAAGTTGTAAACTCTCTGTGAGTACCCGCAGTATCGTACCACTCACCGCCAGACACCATTGATCTCTACTGACTTTCCAAATTCCAAACTCCAAATTCTAAATTCCATCTCTAATATCATCATCGTAGCGACGACTGGAACACCAACCTCCGACCCTCCACTGCCACCTCGCTTCCGCCTGAAACCCTGTCCATGTCCAAGAGTCGTAGTAGCAATCCTCTCGAGCCTACCAAGACCTACAACGGGGGATACACCGACGCCAAGGAGATCCGCCTCCGCATTGCGAATGGAGGTGCGGGTCAATCAGGGCTTGTTGGTGCTCTGGCGGATGCGTTTGTCAAGTGGTGTGTAGAGGGGAATAAAAGTACGGTTGAAGATGGTGGTAAGGAACAAGGGAGTCGGGATACGAAGACTTCTGCGTTTCTGGTATGTCAGGTTATTTCGGATACAAGACGCTCTTGAGTTTGGTTTATACTTTTATACTCATTCGGAAATTCGCATTATGATTATGTAGGTCGGGTGGTATCTCGGCGACACGACACAAAGTCTCGCGTACCTTTCCTCTGGATGGGTCGATATTGCGTTCACGTATAACGAGGCCGCGGAGAAGGCGGTGGTGAGGAGTGGGAAGGCGGTGGTGAGGAAGTTGATTTTTTTGGTGTGTTTCTTTCTGCTTCAAAGTTGTAATTATTTTGGATTGTTTCTTTCTTTATATCTTCTCACTTGAAACCGTACTTCAACCCGCCTGTTCCATTCTATTCCTGACTCACTTACATTATCCCCATGACTATGTATACAGGATCATTTCTACCTCGTCGGTCCTCCATCAAATCCTGCAGGATTGACTTCCACAGACCTCGTATATGATGCGTTTGCTAAAATTGTGGATAAAGGTGCCCGAGATGCATTGGTAGGTGGTTGACCACCTCCCTCTCCTTTCCCTCTCCTCCATTCCATTCCGTTCCGTTCCTTCCTTCCCTCTCTCTTCTGTCCTCTTCCGTTCCCTTTCCGTGACTTTCCTTTCCTTCTATACATGACTCATAATTCCATTCCCTTATTCCATTATCATTCACAACACAACATCACTCAAATCAAAACCACGACCACAATCACATCAACGCCACTCCAGGCTCCTCCAAGCTCTCAAACAAAAACGCAACCACAACCAACCCGCTTCCTATCCCGGTTCGATAAAAGCGCGACGAATATAAAGGAGAGTGGGTTGTTTATTGACATTGGGCAGGTGGGTGTTACTCTATTCCTTCATCTCCTCGTCCTTTATTTTTGTATATCATCATATATATCATCTCCCTGATGTTCTAATACCCACGTCCACCCATCACCCATCACCGCTTCCCCGTTTCCTCTTCCGTCTTCCATCTTCAACTTCCCACTTCTACTTCCACTAATCCTAACACTAACACTACCACGAATCCCTCTCTTCCACTTTCACTTCCCCACAGGTCCCCTGGGCCCATCCTCCATCTCCGTGGTACCACATATACCCTCGGTTTCCTCGGGAATCACTTAGAGCCGCGTCGGTGCTCGGGGAGTATACACTCACAGATCGGGGGACGTGGTTGTCGAGCGAGAAGGGGGTAAGGGAGGGGTTGAGGGTGTTCAAAGGGGAGACGCACCTGGGAGATGCAAAAGGTGGGTTGCTGCTATTATGAGATTTCGATTGTACTTACTATTGCTTTGCCTTTGCCGCTTTGGTGAAAAATACCATCACTGCTAAACTCGACAAAGAAGATGGAGAAGAAGACACCAGAATCCTCCTCAACCCCTGCAATGCCCTTCTCGGATCTTCACCACTTGATAAAGACATTGCGGTGGAGTTCATGCGGTGGGTTGTTAAGCCAGATGGGGGACAGAGGGTTGTTAAGGAGTTCGTTAGTGGAGACGGGGAGATGATTTATTCACCTGTGAATTGATTCTACTCTGCAGTGGTTGGTACCTAAAACATGAAAGACATGTTGAGTTGTTTTTCAAGTTGGTTTTGGGTCCAGATTTCATACTGGTGAGAAACGCAAGCGAAGCAACGCTTGGTATGTGTAGTGGTTGTGGTTGGACTATGACATACCACGCTGCAAAATACCTGTTTTCTTGTTTCGCTGAGATTGCCTCTGGCGCGAGGTTTATTGAGACTGAAATGTTAATGATGACTCAGGTGTACTGAACCGAGTCGACCCGAGACGAGGCTGGGACGGAGGAGGCGTTGAAGTGGGTGTTCGTGACTAAGAAGAGGGATTGGGGGGTCGGGTCTATTACTTGCTAGTACCACCACCCCGACGACCACCCCAGCCGCCGTTGATATAAATACTAGAACGAGGAGAATAGAGAAAGAGACGTCTGAAAGATGGAGACAGGGGGCTGGGGATGAACTGGGATGGGGAGGGAGTGAGATAGAATTGGGATGAGATGGAGAAGCAGAGGCGGAGGCGTTGATGTTGGGTAATGTGGAGGAGGCATTAGATACTCATACCATTCCATCTCTCACCGCACCTGGTGTATCTATCGTGTCCGGTATATACCAATTGAGGTCTGTGATTTTTTTGGGGTAAAGATGGGTAGGGGTTGTTATTTTTTGGAAGACAGGTGAAACGGAGTTGAATGGATGGATGGATGAATAGATGGAGGGTCCTGAATGAAACGCTGCGGAATCGTCCTTCGTTCATCTTTCTAATCTGTGTTCAAAGTTGGCTCTGTTAACTCAGCACTGGCACCGGTACACACCCTCTCAACGCCAGCATTGATTGAGATCGTTTTTGGTTTACAGACCCGAATTATGAGCGGGATTTATCATCTGCCATAGAAAGGTGTGGGTACTGAGGAAACTTGAAGGGTGTTGGAAGTGCCAGTGAAGGTTCGTTCCTCGGTTGTTTTCTAAGATATCGATATTGAAACTCTGCCGTATGTACAGTGACGCGCAAATCAAATCCACACCCCCCGATTTGGAAGGCCTTATGTCACCAGCCCAGAACTGTAAATCAGCGTAAATCTGTTGTTCCTCTGCTCAGAAATATTGAATTTTGAGGGTTCAAACAGCTTATATTGTCACAAGTAAGTCTTTATAGTAGAATCAACATGCTTCACAGGATGTAGCATACAAAAATGTTCACAAAAACAGTTTAATCACAAAATTTCCAAATCGGGGGGTGTGGATTTGATTTGCGCGTCACTGTAGTTCCGAACAGCATCATCTTCGCCAGACCAAACTCAGCTCCCATCCGAGTCGGTACATCCTTCCTCTTCTTTTGTTCACATATATATATCACTCAACCTACTAACTTGACTGAATCCCCGGCACCCTTCCTACTACCAAGATATCAACCGCACCCACCGCCAAACCAACGCTACGTCCGAAGCTCCGTTCACCTCCTTTCTCTCCCGCAGGATGAACTTGAACAGTAACGACGGTAATCTCTATGTTTCTGATAACAACACATGGATTGAACGAGTCAGCGAACGATGCAATATCAGTAGTACAAGTACCGAGACACGGACAACAAACAAAGACCGTCTGAAGCGGGTTGGACGTTGGGGGTTGGACGCTTTTACTTCAACGGTTCATACAAATTGGGAAGAATGAGTATAAGATTTGTTGGTGCGAGGAGGTGAGTACCTGAGTTTTGAATGTTGAATATCACTGACAGAGACCTCGCGCACACAGCACTTCAATGCCATTGTAATCGCCTCAGGACGGTTCAACGCCTCCACCCTCGTATCATCATCTCCTACTCCACCCAGAGGAATTCGCTAATCAGTCTATGACTCCAAGTCTGTGTTGGTCATCGATAGATCCGTCGGTCAGCGGAATGGAAATAGCTGAGGAGTTGGACGGGGTGGTGGCGGAGAAAGTCGGTTTGAGCGTGCGGGATAACGAACTTGGTGTGTACTAGTAACGCCTAAGGGTCTCATACCTAAGTCTGCTGACGCCTTGAATCGGTTTCTACATATATGGACTCATGTGTGTACTGCTCCCTCTGGAAAATGCATTTATCTTCCCGCGAGACGTTAAGATTGTTTCAGAAATCACCCTCGGGCGAGCTTTTCAACGGTACCGTACGTCTGTCACCCTCGTGTTCTGTTAATGCCCAGCAATTTGCTGATTGCCTTTGAAGTTATTACACGGATAGACACGGATTCGATAGGAATTACATTAGCTACTGCCGGGTCGACAACAACCGATTTCCACGTCCGACTCTTCGAACGTGACTTGCGATTCGTAATTCGATGCCCGGGTGGAAATTGGCCTTACACTTACACGTATATGGTAACACACTCCAAACTCGAACGAAATAGATTATAGAGTACTCGAATGTACTGGGACCGATACCACGAACGCACCAGTACCCCGAATTGCCCTATAGTATTCAAAGTGGATTCAATTCCGATTCATTCAAGGTATGAGCGGGATTTATCATCTGCCATCGGAGGATGTGGGCGTGGGTCACGGTGGGGGTGCTGGATGAAGAGAGGTTGGTTTGAGGGTGTGGAGGAGGAGGAGGTTTGAAGCTAAGGGTGGAAGAGGAGGAGACTCGAAGCATGGAGGAAGTGCTAGTGATGAATCGGTTCAGAAATGAACCCCGAAGGCGAAGAGGATTTGAATTTGGGAGGATGAGAGGTACGTTCCTCCCGTCCTCGGTTGATTTCTAAGATATCGAAGGTTTCAACTTGGGCCGACTGAATCACCGACACCCTTCTCTACTACCTAGATATCAACCGCACCGGTCTGGAGCGCTACGTTCAAAGCTTCGCCTCGTTTCTCTCCACTCAGGAACTTGAACAGTCACGACGACAATCACGATGTTTCCGAAAACAACACTCGGGTTGAACGCGTTACCAGACGATGTACTATCACTACAAGTACCGAAGAACGGATAACAACCCGTAACGAGGACCGTATGAAGCGTTGGACGTTGGACGCTTCGCCTTCAACAGTCCATACGGAGTGGAAGGAACGAGTATATTTAAGATTCGTTGGTGGGAGGAGGTGAGTAGTACATACTTGAGTGTTGCATGTTGAAACTGATAGTTATTCATTCCTATCACTGACCTCCTACTACACATAGGACTTCGACGCCATTGTAATCGCCTCAGGACGATTCACCGCACCCAACACACTTGATATCCTCGGTCTAAGTTCACAATGGTGCCTTGTCTCATCTCCTAGTCTCGAAAATATCGTCACCCGGAGTAATTCGCTGATCAGTTTGTGACTCGAGGTCTGTGTTGGTCATCTGTGGATCAGTCAGCGGATGAGGAATTGGATGGGGGGTGGTGGCGGAGAAAGTCGTTTCAAACGTGCGGGATACTAGTAGCGAACTTGGTATGTACTACGCGTAAGGTTTTTCTACTTAAATCTCCTTACGCCTTGAATCAGTTTCCCTATATATATAGACTCAGATGTTTACTGCTCCCTCTGCGAAATGCATTTATCATCCCGCGAAACGTTCCGATTGTTCCAGAACAGAAACCATTTCATCACCTTAGGGTATCGGGAATCACCTCTGGCGATGTTGAGCTTTTCAATGGTACGGTACGTCTGTCACCCTTGCGTTCTGTTAATGCCCAGTAATTTGCTGATTGACTTTGAAGATATCACACGGATTCGACAGGAATTAATTATATTAGCCACTTGTGAGCTCGTTTGATTTACTACACCCATTTATCTACATAATTTTTTTTCCTTTAATCAATGATCATAGGATACCGCAAGGATACCGCTATTCATTCCCCTTCCTTCCCCAATGCATCGACACCTCTCGCTGTACAAATGGAACCGTACCGATTCAAGGCACCAAGGTTCAGTCGACTCGACGTCAACAAATATACTATACCGAACTTGAACCGACGATTGGGTTCATTGATAGTAAGTACTCGAGTATGAGTGTTCCGAGTCACCGTCAAATCTCTCCCTACTCCCTCCTCCCTACTCAAATACAGTGAACACCGGCATCGAAACATTGCTCTATTCAGAATTCACCTCTGTGGCATTATCCAAAGTATCATCTGGACAGGCTAGACTGTCATCTTCCGATTCCATGCGGGAGATGCATGAGGAGCATGTGGGGAAAGGGTATTGAACATCCATAATTACCTCGAGCGCCTAAGCAAGGTTTCATTTGAGAGTTGTCTTTGTCCGTTCCGACGGCGGAAGAGGTGTTTACATGATTGCCATACCGACAAATTCCCTCACCATATCTCATCGTCCCTGAGCTTTTTCACTACAATCTTTGCTTAATGTCTACTGATAAAACTGAAGTCTACTGGAGCCTACAAATCTCATGTAGTCCAATAGAGTACAACTGAGCAAAGACAATCATCGGACTAGTGAGATTCAGAAGGAACGCTAGCCGGACGCATGCAAGGTGTGTCCCCGACGGAGTATATTGATCATATCATAAAAACCTCATCAAACACTTACATTTGCATCCCACTGCCTTCAGGGAAGACTGTAGACTATATGGATCTTGATCACATAGGTAGTAATCATGCCGCCACCCGGACATTCTGACTGACATGGCTCCTATATAAGTAACTTCAGAGGATGGAAAACCATCCGGAATCCCCTAGCGGCTGGTCTTAGTCTAAACGGAAAAAAACCTCCTTCTTTTGCTGGCAAGGAGAAGAGGAAGAAGTATTACCTCCTGTTGTAAGTGCATATAAATCCTCCTTTTTTCGTTCTTTCTCTACTAAACCGGCCTTGACTGAATTATTCAATTGTGGCTCAGCAGAAATCACATACAAACGCCACGGTATACCATTCTCAAGTCCTCCCCACTATCATCCACCTCCTATATACTCACTTTGAATCCGACAATTTCTCCTTCTTGAGTCCAACCAACAAGACCACTGTCAGATTCCACCCCTCGACTGTACACATATCCAAATGTTCAATTCACTTAAGCTGCAGCATTCATCCTTTATATCTATGCTCCTTGTCATGCTCTTCAGCGTCGTCGTAGTGGCAATCCCGTTGTCTCACGGCAAGGGATCCGCATCCACAACAACTTCACATTGTAAACGTAACGATGACCTTCCGTGTAAGTAATTTTTTGAATTCCTTTGTCATGTTTTCTAATCTAATGTCTTCATATCTTTTGGATAGCTGGCGAAAACGTCGACGTCTTTCTCTTGGGTCCAAGACTAAGTGTAGCTCACACAGTCCCCGAGGAATCCTGGATCTATTTCGGAAGCTTTCTGTGTCACACTGGTTTGGGGCTTCGGATGGAACGCGATGAAAATGGCAAGCATGTCATAAAGGATTATTACCGGGAACCCTATGAGACAATAACACTAGTGGGAAGAGTGCATTTCCCCAGTGATCCAGATATAATGGATACCGTCGGTCGTGTCGATGACATTCCTTCTATGATGGCAAAAAAACAAATTCCGTTGACTAATCGAAACTTTATTTCATTCTTTCTGGAGATGTTGGAGGAAAGGAAGTTTTACACGGCAAAACATGACCTGCTGTTTGATTAGACTTGGAGCTGGGGAGTGTAGATTTAATGAAAATGCTTCCTATTTCTGGGATACAATATATATATATATATATGAGCCATTAGCATTTGCCGTAACCATGCATGGACTTTTGCGCGGAACATGTATGTAACTTGCGCGGAACTTGCACGGATCACTTACTGAGCAAAGTAGAACTTTGATAAATACTTTTTGAAGAGTTTACTGATAACAATTCCATTTTAACAAATCATTGAGTCCTAGTTAATATCATGAATTGTATGCAATGCCAACTCCAGAAGCATTGCACTTTGACCTACTTTACCCTTACCATCTGTTGGAAGTACTTTCCTTTCTCAGGCCGATTCATTTCGTTCCCACGTGACTTCTTACTACTTAGATCGTATTTCGCACGTTTCCTTTCCCTCAGCTGTTTTGATCCTCACTGGTTCAACACTGAGGGTAAGTCCTTTTTCTCCTTTATTATACCTACACTATAGATACTGATAGCTACTTAGCCTTTTTGTTCTTCGTATAGGTATAATCTCAGCTGTTTTGATCCTCACTGGTTCAACACTGAGGCCTTTTTGTTCTTCGTATAGGATTGACATCCAAGACCATCTTATACTTTTGATGAACATTTTGTCTAGTCTCAGTAATGGGAGAACAGTGATTGTTTAGGTATGTTCCTTCTAACCTTTCAATTATCTATCACTGACAACACATGCTAGTAATTAGACATAATGGGCAATAACTACAGGCCTTGACAACACTGTATGATATTGAGAGGCAAAAGAGGTCTCTTCATTGAGACTGTTGGATCAAACAATAGACTAGAAAATTTTACTTTACCTGCAATGGCACTACATTACTGTTATTCACTCTCTTGTTGGAAATTTCAATAGTATCTGAGGATAGCATGACATTGATTGGCTCATATAATCCTGAAGAGTATACCAGCTTTTTAGTCTGGTGGGAGCACATCTTGATTTCTCTACTCAAAAGGGCCTTACAACACTGTCCAGAAGTAAGCTTGTAGTTCCTTGCAATTGTATTGACCTAGATGACTAGTTCAATGGCTTCTTGATAGTCTCTATGATCAACTCATTTCCGGTATTGGTGTGGCATGACAATGAGGGAGAAAAAAAAAAAGAAACCCTCCCTCCCTCCTCTCTTTTACCTTTCCTCTGGCACTGGGTTTTGGAAACAATTATACAAGAAGACACGGGACACGTGATTCCTATTCTGCTGCGTTTCACTAACCCCTATGAAGTACGTAGCCCCTATGCAGTATGTAGCCTCTATGCAGTACGTAGTACCATCAATGAGGTAGTCAGGACTACTTGCTGGAGTTGATTATGCTAAACATTATTATGTAGATGATTCCGAAGTTGTGATCCCAAAGTTATGATTCCGAACTTATGATTCCGAACTTATGATTTCGAACTTGAACCGAGCCGAGCTCGAATGGGTTGAGAAATATCGTATCAAATGGATTCATGGATTCGTGATTTGAGGAAGTACGTACATCATGAGGAAGGATTATGATGAGGAAGTATGTAGATCGTGAGAGTTGGATAGTCGAAGTAAGTAGATCGTGAGAATTGGATAGTCAAAGTAAGTAGATCATGAAACTGGATAGTCGAAGTAAGTAGTCAAACTATGATATTGAAACTATGATCATTACCATTAGATATCTAACATCAAGATTCAACCAAACCAAGATTCAAGTTTGAAATACTACTACTACTACTACTATGTAGAGGATGGATGGATGGATGGATGGATGGAGCTCCTGTATCCTGTATCCTGTATCCTGTATCCTGTACGTTGTATGTGTATTCTGTATGCTGTATGTATGTGTATTCTGCATGCTATATGTGGAAATGGGATTATGGATGATGGATGATGGATTATTGACTCGGAGGAAATTGGAATGGGGGAGTAGAAGTAGAGGGGGAGTAGAAGTAGACTATCGGAGGAAAAAGTTGGAATGGGGAAGTGGGCAGAGAGAAGGAAGTAAAAGGAAGGAAGTAGAAAGTAGGATGAAATGAGTTAAGTAGAAGGAAGGAAGTAAGTAGAAGGAAGGAAGGAAGGAATGAATAAGGAAGTAGAATGAAATAAGTAAGTGGAAGGAAGGAATGAATAAGTAATTCCAAGTGGTTACCTGGGTTTGTTGTTGTTGGGGGGGGGACATAGAGACAGACAGAGACAGAGACAGAGACATAGAGACATAGAGACAGAGACATAGAGACAGAGACATAGAGACATAGAGACATAGAGACAGAGACATAGAGATACACATAAACTTGAACTTGGACATAGAAACAGACTCCAGAGACAGTGTTGGGTGATTTCGAAGGTCAGTTTGATCATTGATGGTGATTTCGGGGTGGAGTTACTCTGCTTGAGGATGGAAGGGATATAGGGATAGAAAGGGGTTAGGAGGGATAGAAAGGAGTTGAGAGGATAGAAAGGGTTAGGAGGGATTTAGCTGGTGGTTATGTAATCAAGTATCACTGTATATCATGTGGGGATATATCATACAGTGTGATAGTAATAGCAGTAGCAGCAGTAGCAGTAGTAATAGTAATAGTAGTGGTAGTAATAGTGAGACATTACACTACACAGAGGGTGTTCGGAATTGGAATTGGGCTGGTTGTTCCGTTGAACTCGGACCCCACTCACTTAGCGAGAGTGGCGAGAGTGGCTTTATTGATGGGTTGAGGGAATCTTCAAGAGGGATCATTTGGGAATTCATTTATTCGTTTGTTTATTTGTTTATTGATTTGTTTATTTATTTATTTATTTATTTATTTATTTGGTGTGACTCTTAGAGGTTCAAAGATGGAGGGAGGGAGGGAGGGAGGAGGGGAGGGAGGAGGGAATGCAAATTCAAACAGAATGGATGCAACAGAACGGAATGAAAGCCAGAATGGAATGCAACAGAACGGAATGAAAGCCAGAATGGAATGCAACGGAATGCAAACAGAATGGAATGCAAACAAAAACCACAAACACCTCCCCTCAAAACACCTAACCCAACTCATAAAAACATGTGAACAATCGACTGTGTAAACTTGGACTTGGACTTGGACTTGGACCACCACTCTGTGAGCTTGGACTTGGACTTGGACTTGGACCACTCCGAGAGCTTGGACTTGGACTTGGACTTGGACGACCAATTGGCAATCTACGTAGGACGGAAGCGGGAGAGTCGGAATGCGGGCCCTCGAAGAGGGTTGAAGAGGGTTGAATAGTCTTGAAGAGGATTGAAGAGCATCAAAGAGCATCAAAGAGCATCGAAGAGCGTCAAAGAGGATTGAAGAGTGTCGAAGAGGGTTGAAGAGCGTCGAAGAGTGTCAAAGAGTCCTGGAAGATGAACAGAAGAGCCTTATGTGTGCGTCGAGTCTATTACTCAGCATCACCCACCCCCACCCCCACTGCTACCACCGCCCCCGCCGCTGCTTCTGCTACCGCTGTCTACTTATACTAAAACAGGTGCCTGTCTAGAATACGAAGACAAAGACGAAGTGAAGACAAAGACGACGACTCTGGGCCCTCTCACTCCCCAAGGGCGGTGATCTTGGGCCGTGGGGAGTTGATAGTTGATAGTTGATAGTTGATGAGGCCTTGAGGAGGGAGTGAGTGAATGAGTGAGTGCGATGGATAGAGCGAGAGAGGGAGAGGGACAGAGACAGAGGGGGAGGGAGATAGAGAAGAAGAAGAAAGAGAGAGAAGAAGAAAGAAAGAAAGAAAGACAGACCGAGAGGAAGAAAGAAACACACTCAACCACGCACCCAACACAAATCTCTCTCCTCCCCCCCCCCAAGCTTACGTACGTACGTTGCACGACCCCCGTTTGCTTGCACGACCTCCTGTTTTTTGCATGACCCCCCTCTTTTTGTACGATCCCCCCGTTTTTTGCTGCACCACGCCGTTTTTTGCACCACGCCGCCGTTCGTTGCACGACCCCCCCGTTCGTTGCACGACCTCCCGTTCGTTGCTGCACCGCGCCGCGCTGTGGCTGGGGGGTGATGGTATGAGATTGCGTCGTGTTGTGTTTGGAAGGAGAGGGGTTGGACCAGATGGATACCAGATGGAGGAGAGGGGTGGAGGGATAGGGTGGGAATGAAACACTGCAGGATCCTTATTCGATCCTTTATTCAATCTGCGAGGGAACCCACTCCCTCCTGAACCCTCCCGAGTGCTCTGCCTTTCATTCTTTCCTTCCTTCCTTGCTTCCTTCCTTGCTTCTCTCCCTCCGTAAATCTTCGTAAACCCTCCGTAATTCTCCGTAAATCTCCGTAATCCTCTGTAACCCTCCGTAGACCTCCGTAAACCCTCCGTAAACCCTCCACCTCCACCCCCGTCCCGGGAAAGCGGAGATATGTCCTGGAAGAAGGTTGGTGTGGATGTGTGGATGTGTGGAGGTGTGGTTTGGTGGAGTAAGTAAGAAGTAGGTTGGGAGGAGGGGAGGTGGAAGAGGGAGGAAGTAAGAGGGGAGGGAAGTGGAAGAGGGTAATCCACTCAACTAGACACTGTCCCCCACTTTCCCCCACCGTCCCCCCAGCAAACACCCATTCCATACCTACCTCCCTCCCTCCCTCCCTCCCTACCACCTTCCACCACCCTGCACCACCCTGCATCACCCTGAAGCACAGGTACACGAAACACGCACCACGCACCACGCACCACGCACCGCCCACAGGTTCACCCTGGATGTATGTTCATGTATCGAGATGAGGCATCGGGCCTGTATCGCTGCATCGCTGCATCGCTGGTACTGCGCCATTGCATTGTGAGTGTTGTGACTGGTGTTGGAGGGGGGTGAGAGGGGGAGGGGAGGGAGGGAGGGGAGGGAGAGAGGGGGGGGGAGGAGGAGGGGAGGGAGAGGGAGAGGGAGAGGGAGAGGGAGAGGGGAGGAGGAGGGAAGGGATGCATCGGGTGTGTGAAGGAGGTACAGGATAGGAATGGAACAGAACAAATAGCAAGCTAAACCCGAGTTAGGTGAATGAGAGGAGTCATACACTTCCTCTCGGGTTCCTCCCATCTCCCCATCCTCCCCATCTCCCCATCTCCTCCTCCTCATCATCCTCATCCTCCTCCTCCCCATCACACTCATCAACCCATCAACCCACCGAGTCCCGACTCCACCCACCCACCCCCTGACTCCGTTGTACATCCCCTGTTTATAGCCTGTTTCCAGGCTTTGATCGAGGATAGGGAGATGATGGTATGCGGTGGTTGGGTGGGTGGTATTGAAGATTGAGGGGAAGGGGGAAGGGATGGGTAGGGGGATTGGGGGATTGGATGGGAGTGGAGGGATGGGATGGGTGTTCTTTCAACCCATCCACCCATCCATCCATTCATCCAACCGGAACGGAATACTCAACGTACTCAACTACGAAACATATGCGCAGTGAAGCGAGGTATAAGGTGTGACCTGCCTCCGAGATAAGACCTAACCGGGACTCGGGACTCGTAACACAACCCACCTTCCCTCCCCCCTCCCTCCATCCCCCCTTCCTCCCTCCCACCTCCCACCCTCCCTTCCCACCTCCCTCCCTCCCTCCCTCCCTCCCTCCCTTCCTTCCCTCCCTTCCTTCCTTCCTTCCTTCCCCCCCACCTTCCTTCCAGGTTCCGGAGTCAGGTCCACACCTACCGCACCCAGACCCAGACCCCATCCCCTCCGAGTCCCTCGTAGTGCGCATCCTCTTGTCTCTCGTCTATCTTGTCTCTCGTCTATCTTGCTCCGTCTATCTTGTCTCTCATCTATCTTGCTCCGTCTATCTTGATGATGCCCGCCACCCGTGCATCCCGTGGAGCTTGATGAAGAGTGCTGTGTGGTTGAGGTGGTTTTGGGTGGTTGAGGTGGTTGCAGTGGTTTTGGTTCCCGGTAGTTCGGTGCGTTCGGTGCTCAGTGGTTTAGGTGGTTTACCTGGAGATACGCACGGGAGTATCCACGACGGACGGAACGAGGTGGTGGGGGTTGTTCCGAGTTCTGTGTTCCGTGTTTCGAGTTCCGTGTTTCGTGTTCCGTGTTTCGAGGTCTGTTCGAATCTGCTCGAGTCCACTGTTCTGTTCTGTTCTGTTCTTTTCCCACTGTTCCGTTTTCGACTGGAGTCCCTTGGAGTCTATCGAGGACACGGGAGGACAAGGGAGGGGACAGGGGAGGTGAAGAGGAGTTCAGGGGAGCGGAGCGGAGCAAAGGGGGGAGCGGAGGGAAGAAGGAGGGAAGGTCAGGGAAGGACAGGGTAGCAAAGGGGACACAAGGCAGGCCGAACCCGACTCCCGAGAAGTAGAGCGATGAAGAGGAGTTAGGGAAGCCGTTGAGTGAAACTGGACTGAAGACCTCAATGGGGGAGGAAGGACGGAGAGGACGTTGTTCTCTCCTTATGTAGTAGTAGATGAATTGTTTCGTCCTCCTAGGGGGAATCCCACAGCACGCCGCGTTGGACTGAGCCGGACTGCGCTACGCCGAGCCAGACTGTTTCTCCGTTGGTTGGTTGGTGGGTATCCACTGTTCCTCAGCCTTCCATCCTCCACCCCCCTCCTTCCATCCCCCACCTTCCACTCCTTCCATTCTCAGCCCTTCACCCCTTCCACCGATTCCGAGGGTCCACGAACCCCATATTCGATATTCAATATTTAGATATTCAGATACCGTTCCACGAATACCGTTCCATACATAGTCTCATAGTTTCATGTTTTGCAGTGTTCACAGCTACGCAGCTTCCCAGCGAGAACTCGACTCGGAGCTGGGAGGATGTATTGAGCGATGGAGTGGGGAATGGGGAGTGGGAAGGGGAAAAGGAGTGAGGTGAGGCCTTAGAGCAGAGGTAGGATGTAGTATTACCGCACCTCCAACAACTCCATCTCCATCTCCATCCCATCCCACCCCATCTCCATCCCATCCATCGCATGTGAAACTTCACATAATACATTGAGCGTATGGTACACTTACCGACTCTACCTCAGCGGAGACGACTCATTCGTGAAATGTTGGACCAGAGTTGGAGTCTGGAGTTACCTGAGTGCGAAGTGGAGGGGGTGTGTTGGGTGAGTGCGAAGTGGAGTGCGAAGTGGAGGGTGTGTGTTGAGTGATGAGTGTTGAGTGATGAGGGGGTGGGTGAGGGAGAAAGAGAAGGGCACTAGGTATGGTGTTTCTGAGTTTTGAGTAGACGAGGAGAATGGAGACGAGTTCCTGGGGTTATACATAGTATGTATTAGATAGATATATATATAGATAGAAAGAAAGAAAGGAGCAGATCCACCACATCGAACGACAGAGAACGTTGGACGCATGGTAGATAGGTGGATAGGTGGGTTTAAGAGAAGGTATCGAGAGGAACTCGAGGAACAGCGATAGCGATACAGTGGCGATACATACAATGATGAAGTAAGCGAAGTAACGGAGTAAGCGAAGTAGTAGGAGTAGTATGGATGGATGGATGTATGGATGGATGTATCTCAAACCGAAGTGACTCCGTTCGTACACAGATACACAGATACGAGACGAGACGACCGAGACAGACTTAGACGCACTACACTGTATCTAACGGGTTGATCTGTGATCAACACCCCCCTTCCTCCCCTCTCCTCGTCCCCCCTCCCCCCCTCTCCCCCCCTCCTCGTCCCCCTCCTCCCTTCCATTTCCCTCCTCCGTGAACACACACACACAAACGCCTCGTCACCGCACCCCACTCCACCCCACCGCTCCACTATCCAAGCCCCGTTCCCGCACCCCACCCCACCACAATGCAATGCAATGCGCGATGTGGGGTGTGGGATGTGGGATGTGGGATGTGTGATGTGAGGTGTGGGATGTGGGGTGTGGGATGTGGGATGTGGGATGTGGGATGTGGGATGTGGGATGTGTGATGTGGGGTGTGTATTGACTCTTGCTCCGATGAACTGAGGAACCGAGGGATAGAGGGATAGAGGGATAGATTCGGAATTTGGATGTGTGGGTTTTGTGCATTGGATATGTGCGTTGGATATGTGAGTGGGTGGGTTCGGTGGGTTCGAAGGGTAGGTTCGGTGGGTTCGGAGGAGTTGACGTTGAGGTGTTGACTTGGTCACCGTATTTGCGTATATGCATAAGTGACTGATACTGATGTCGATACTGGTATTCCCAGTGTGAAGTGTGAAATTTGAGTGATGCGAGTGATGGGAGATACTCGGAGATGGGAGGTAGGTTGGGTGGGGGATACTCAAAGATGGGAGGTAGGTAGGGTTGGGTTTGGGATCGGGATTGTGGAGACTCGGAGGAGCCAGTGGTGAACGGTGAACTCGGGGGGTTTTTTTGAATTTGAGTCATTGTTAAATATTGAATATCGAGTCATCGAATATTTGAATATCGAATATCGAATGCCCCCGCTGACTGTGAGTCGTGACTGAATGCCGCCGCACAAGACTCGGACAGCGTCTATGTCTATGTCTATGTCTATGTCTATGTATGTGTATGTGTATGTGTATGTGGGGTTCGTACTTGGTAAGGTGGTCACTGGTGGGAAGGTGGTAGTGGTGCAAGAGGGTGGTGGGAGTGGTCTGCTGGAGGTGGAGGGTGGTGATAGTGGTCTTCAAATTCGACTGCGATTACCATAATCAACAACTTACAGTGTAAAATCAACTTCCTCTTCAGAATCATTCACTTTTCCGATTCGTGGTTCGAAGTTAGGTCTATCGCGAATGCGAATGGTCTGCAGGTGTTTAGTATCTATTTGAAATCAGACGAACGAATGATGAACGAATGATGAACGGTTATGAACGGTTATGAACGGGGAATGAACGGGGAATGAAGGATTTTTTGACTTATTCAGGATTATTGGCGTATTGGCTTATTCGAGTTCGAGTTCGAGTTCGTTCCCCCGGGAGCAAGCATAAGCATAAGCATTGAATATTGGCGATTCAGAATACTGGAAGATCTGGAATATCGAATACTGAAATATCAAACACTGGAACATCAAAGGACCCCGCTCGCTTGCACTTGTTCTTTGTTCATCAACACTACACCACACCACACTGGCACACCACACCACGCCACACCACCGCGCAGAACTCTCCAGACTCCGAGTGTGAACAAGATCTCTCAAGATCTCTCAGGATCTCTCATTCATCGCTCTTTACACCAGAATCACTGAATCAGCACCGCGTGGAGGATGTTTGTGGTTTATTGGGGAATGGTGTTGGTGTTGGTGTTGGTGTTGGAATTGGTGTTGGTGTTGGTGTTGGTGTTGGTGTTGGTGTTGGTGTTGGTATTGGGACCGGTAAGAGAGATCGAGGACTTTGCAAATTGTTGAGCGCCTCTCGATGGGTGCGCTGATCGTTCCAGGTCAAGATTATAGACTCGTTTTTATAGACTCGTTTAATGGTGGGACAAGTGCACAAGAGGACGGAGAGGGGTTGGGCTATACTATTATTTCGAATGGGCGATTCATCGAGTGGCGACTGTTGGTGCAGGAGCTGGGTACGTTTGTGATTTTGATTTTCATCTTCATCTTCTTCTGATTCTTCCCAGTCTTCTTCATAGTCTGAGTCTTCTAAGTCTTTTCTCTCAACCCCCTCCCTTTCAACGTTCAACTCAACCCCGAAACTCCTCAACTCTACCTCCAGCAGTCTCTCACTGAGGCTATCGCCTACCCATTAATTCTCCATTCTCTTCCCGTGTCGACAACAACAACAACAACCCCAGCAACTTGAATCCACGTCCGACTCTTCGAATCTTCCAACACAATTCGTAATTCGCGACTCGATGCCCGGGTGGGAATTGGCCTTACACTTACACGTACACGTATACGGTATTACCCCCCAACCCGACGAACGACCGAACGACCGAAATAGATGGAATCCCCGAATGTACTGGCACTGATACCCCGACCGCACCAGTATCAGTACCCCAAACTTGAATTGCCCTGTACTCACACTTGAAGCGGATCCAAGGTATGAGCGGGGTTTATCATCTGCCACTGGAGGGTGTGGGTGTGAGTCACGGTGGGGGTGGGGGTGCTGGATGAAGAGAGGTTGGTTTGAGGTTTGAGGGCGTGAGGGGGAGGAGGAAGAGGAGGAGGAGGAGGAGGAGGAGGAGGAGGAGGTTTGAACCTAAAGGGTGGAGGAGGTTTGAACCTAAGGGCGGAGGAGGAGGAGGAAGAGGAGGAGTCTTGAAGCGTGGAAGAAGTGCTAGTAAAGATCCGGATCAGAAATAAACCCCGAAGGCGAAGTGGATTTGGATTTGGGAGGAGGTTTAATAGGCGTGACGAGAGGTTCAATAGGCGCGACGACACGGAGAGGTACGTTCCTCCTGTCCTTCGGTTGATTTCTGAGATATCAATGGTATTGATATTGAAAGGTTTAACGTTTAACTTTCTCTGGTGTGTGTGGTTCCGAAGAGGATTTAATCAACTTGGAGAGGTGCGAGACTCGAGTCGTATCGGAGTTGGTACGTCCTTCGTCTTCCTCGTTCGGAATATGTATGTAACTCAAACCTGACCTGACTGCTGATTGAATCACCGACACCCTTCCCTGAATCTCTACCACCTAGATATCAACCACACCCATCTCCAACGCTACAGCTGAAGCTTCGTTCGCCTCCTTGCTCTCACTCAGGCTGAACTTGAACGGTAACGATGGTCATCCTGATGTTTCTGGTAACAACACTCGGGTTCAAGCACGAGTCAGCGAACGATGGACTATCACCACGATCTCACTACAAGTACCGGGTAAATGGACTGCAAATAAAGAGTGCGGCGGGTTGGATGTTGGATGTTGGACGTTGGACGCTTCAAGTTCGCCTTCAACAGTCCATACTGAGTGGAAAGAACGAGTATACTTAAAATTTGTTGGTGAGAGGAGGTGAGTACCTGAGTTCTGAATGTTGAATATTAGTGACAGGGACCTCGTGCACACAGCATAAGGGAGCCACATGCTGTTGAAGGTTTTGCAGATGTGATGTATTCACACTTACTACGGCCAAGTCCAAGTCTCTCTTTGATTTACAATGACATCAAGAAGCTGGAGTGAGTCTAGAGAGGTGAGGGAGTTGGTTTAGTCTGAGGAAACCTGGAGGGCGGAACTCCTCTTGTAAGGCGGTCTAGCAAGTTATATACACCACACTGTCTACAGTCTTTGTTACTACATTTTCATAGCTCATTTCCAGCCAGTTGTCAACCATACCTTGATTGAGAATTCTACCTACCACTTTATTCTACTTATTAGTCTTACTGCTGCTCATGAAAGCTCTTGAGAATTTACTAGGCTCAACTGCACTTGAAGCAGAGCTCAGGCTGGACTAATTTGAGTTGCTGTGTTTATCACCATTGTCTCAGTTCTATACCTCAATTTAATCCCAGCCCTGGATGACCAAGTCAGGAGTCTAGGATTGTCATTTTTCTGCCTAGCACAGCTGGGAAAGTGACAGTTGATAGGTGCTTCCAAGTCGGGGTATACATGGTGTTCTTTGAGCTACTAGGAAGCATATGAACTTCACCTTGTACACTAAGTATTTCGCACATTTACATAGTACCCTGTGTAGTTACTAATTGCACCTACATGTATATAGGATGTATGGGTTTCCACTGCTTTGATACTGCTATGTAAAGTCCCAAGTTAACTTGAAGGAATAAACACAGAAAACATTCATTATGTATATCTTTCATGCCCAAATCCTGTATGTACTTCATCCTGTTGTCCATGTGAACTTGCTTCGAATCACGGAGACAAATATGTGGTCAATGAAATTCTCATTTGAATTTTGTGGGGACCGTTGCAGTACGGTTGCTTGGGAATAGCCGGTAGTTGAAAAGAAAACATCAAGAGGTACTAGAGCAAGGTACTCCTGAGGTAGGACATCTCCTGTTATATTATTACAGCCTCGATGACCTCAAAGAACACCTGCAGTTGATTTGTTAAAGGATAGTAGGTAGGGTCAATGACAAAGCATGGTGACTTTTCAAGCAACGGGAGGTTTGAACTTACAGAGAGCAAAAGTTCAAAAAAGAAAATCGAGAGGCTTATCTCCGCGTCGGAATGATTCTTCGTACGTCGCGGAATAATGCTGATACCGCCTGGTGATTGCAAGCAATATCAAGATTGATCCATGAGAGAAGATTGCTGTGAGAAGTCGCCCACAGAGTTGATGTAGTACTTACAATTGTGATTTCCAGCGCCCCATCGCGGCTCTGTATAGAATTTACGTATATGTTGCAGTATGGTCGTAGGATGCAGAGGGGATATATGCTGTGGGTCAAGAAAGATCATCAAACTCTCAGATGGCCGTTCATACTCTTTGCTGTGTGGTCAGTATGAATTTCGAAAAACATGTGTTGTGGGTCAAGATAGGTCAAGATAGATCATTGGATGATGGCCGTTGATATTGCCCGAAGATGTGAAAGATTCAACTACCATGAGAAAAATTTGCTGTTCAAAGTCACCCACAGAGTTGATGTAGTACAATAGTACGAGAAAGGAACATATTCTGTGGGTCAAAATAGATCATCAGACACTAGATGGCCGTTGAAAAGAGGGGACCAGGTGGCGACAACGTGGGATGTGATACCGAGGTGACCGTCGAACATCTGCATATTCCATGTACTTACCAATATGAATAGCACAGGAATTCGGTAGTTGTGGCGATAAGGAAGGAACGAAATGTTTTTGGTTTTAAATTTGCTTAAAGAGTAAGTAATTTATTGAAGTGACAGAGAAAAGATATGTAACATGAGGCTAATGCAGAAATCCACGTACCCCGGTCGATCAGTATGAGCAATTGGATGTAGGAAAGCAATAGCGGCGGACGCAGCTACATCAAATGTTACCGTATTGCCGTCCATTGGCAATTGCGGCCATCTTACACGAATGACAATCCAGTTGAGTGTAAGATGTAAGAATATAGCAAATACAAGGTACAGCTATTAAGTAACATAGGCTATGCGGCGCGGGATCAGGCTTGCATTTGTAAACCGAGAACACTGAAAATTGACGTAATCACGTGTTTGTCTGCAACTCTCTACACAACCACGACCATGTTGCCACTCAGGCAGTCTGTCTTTATCGTTCTCTTGGCGTTGCTTCTAGGAGCTTACTACAACGGAAACTTCATTAGTGAAAGTCCTCCCCAAAAACCTGATTCAAATGAATACGAACCAGAGCGCTTTCGCTGTCGTCCGTTCCTTCCGAAACTCTTCTCACCCAACACACCCATCGATCAGCATAACGAGATACAGCTTGCTTCACATCGTCTTCGCAGCTTCCTAGCGGATAGGTTCTCATCCGGGGATATAGACAGTCTCTCTGTTGCTGTTGTGACTCCCGGTGGCACTGTGTTTGAAGAGAATTATGGTATGAGACGTGGGAATGAGTCAAAAACTTCTCTTCCAACCGACAGTCATTCAGCATACCGGATCGCATCAGTCACGAAGCTGTTCACGGTACTGGAAGGTCACATTCTCGCACAGAAGCATATTATATCTTGGTATTACTCATATCATTTCTTCGGGATGCATCTTTACTGAATTTTACCCAATTAGGGATGACCCAGTCAACAAGTACTTGCCCAGGTTCATGTATCGCAATGATACCATCAGCAAACAACATCATGAAAATTCTCCTGTTACCCTTCTTCAGCTTGCCAGCCATGTGTCTGGCCTAGGAAGAGATTGGCCTCCTGGTGATGTAGCAAATTGGCCTAAGGATCTTGTAGGCGCAGGTCCCCCTCCCACTAATGGATTACCTTTCCCAAGTCATGAATCTCTTTACCAATCTATAGAAGAGAACTTTCTTGTCTCTCCCCAATTTTCATGGCCTGTGTACTCAAATACTGGTATAGGCTTATTGGGAATGGCACTTGTTGCTGCGAACCGCCAGGTAAATGGTCCCAAGGAGCCAAACCTTTTTTCAGAGCTGGTTCAACGTGATATATTTGATAAGATACACATGAATGACAGCCATTTTTTGGTGTCTGGGCAGAACAAAGATATGGTGGTAGTACCATCTTTAGCTCCAGAGGTTGCTGTAAGCATGTTCAATTTCTGCTATTTATAATCTGACACTAGTCATCTTCCAAGGATCAGGACTTTTTAGATGCCATGAATCCTGCAGCTGGACAATTTTCATCTTTGAGAGATTCTGCTATTTTTCTCAGAAGCCTCCTGAGCTCAGGAACCCAAGGTAGCCTCCTTTCCAAGACTACTTTCAACAACTGGATTCATTCTGCACATGCCTTTGAGGAGGATGACTGGACAGAAACTGGATTTGTCTGGGAAATCATCAAAGCACTTGACTCCAATAACAGGTTGAGGCGTATCTATTGGAAGCGTAAGTCATTGATTTTGTGGCATGTTACAAGAGAATGTAACTAACTATTACCAGTTGGAGCCATGGCTGGATACCACGCAGCTATTGCAATCCATCCTGGCACAATGTATGGAGTATCTGTGCTGCTTTCTGGTCATTATCCTGATGCAGGCAAAATTGCATATGATGTGTTTGAGGTTTTCCAGCCACACATTGATACTGTGCTTGCAGAGCTCGCAACCTCTCTGTATGTTGGGACTTGGGTCAATTCCGACAGTAATACCACTGTTGCTGTTGCCATTGACAAGGGCACATTATATGTGGACAAGCTTGTCCTAAATGGGACCAATATTTTCACTTATTTCAATCCCTTCTCAGACCGACTTGCACTGAGATCCACTGAACAATTGGATGAATTTCGGTAAAATACTTGATTCTTTTTTTTGATAAATGACTTATGAGGTTGAATATTAGAATTGATATCGGTATCCCATTTTACAATGGAAAACGTCATATGGGCTGTTATCCATATTGGGCTGGATTGGATCTATGGGGTCAGCGCAACCAGGCACCCCTCAATGTGATTTATTTTAGTGGTGATGCTCAATTCCGTACATTACATGTTCCGTCCACTGGGTCCACATTACAACGTGATATCTAAAGCGTTTTGGTATGACCGTCCTCTAGATATGGGGAATTGGCACTCACCATCTTGTCATAGCTTACTACATCCCTTGTAGCTTGAAATTCCATAGGACTTCTCACTTTTGTCGTATCTCTTGATTACTTTGTACTTATGTTCCATACTTAAGATACTCCCAGTTCAGTTTCGACGCATATCACGTGCTGGTCACAGCTGTGACCCCGCCAAAAATCTCAAGGTGCAACGAATTGGTCTTTCGAGTAGTTTTCATTTGAGTTATGCAAAAATTAAAACACGGGCACTGTTAACCTACTACTTAAAGACAATATCAGATTTTCTGAGATTTTATAGTGAAGAATTCAGAGATGAGATAACATTCTGGCAAGAGTGTCCAAACTAAGCGCCAAGTCCTTAATGGTCCTCGGTTCATATTTTTGTACATTGACTGCACTTTTCTCATCATCCCCAGCTGTAAATCATTCTCAAATGAGCAATGTTTTATTGTGAATAACCTGGGTGATCCATCCATTCTGAGAGTGGAATAACTTCAACAAACAAGATGCATACCATTGACAAGCCACAAAACTGTGCTGAAATGATGAGTATTTTGCTCTACAGGCATCTATGCACATCTCTTACTACAAGATACAATACAAAGTCCTCAAGTGCTGTTGTTCTTGACTTTTGAGTTTTTTCAAGAATGTTGAGATTCATCAAAAATGGTGAATTTTGTGATTTCACACACCATAAAGCGATAGGCTTTCTCAATTATGGATATAAGACTTAGATTTTCTGGGTAGGTCTACCTACAAGGGTACTCAACAGGGCCCGTGTTCTCAATAGACTGTATTGGGGCTGGGTGTTGAGATAAAAAGTGCTCAAGGATTGTCACTCTGAAAGTCACTGAAAAGCACATGACGTGCGTCGAAACTGAACTGGGAGTATCTTACTCTCAGTTTGAATTCACCTCCTCTCTCCATATCAGAAATTTGTGTCTTTTCCCTCGAAGTCAGTATACCAACCAACCTATGCTCTTATTCCGTGAATACTCACTCTTAGTGCCTTTGGATCTGACCATAATCATAGCTCAACTTTTCTGTTCTCATAGCTCCTTGAGACTGTTCAAGTATATGTTGTAGAGGTGTATGACCTGCATAATTGCCTATGCCTATCTATGCCTATAAGCAAGTATATGCAAAAGCTTAGCAGATAATGTCTAATTCAAAAAGATTGTTCTTGTAGCTAGATAATCCCCAGTTTCAAATAGCATCAAGAAATCACATATGGCCTGTTCTCCCAGGCATCAGTTGCATGACCCATGTTTTGCTGAGTATCACTCCTGGTCTCTCAACAATCTAATATAGTGATGGATTTTCTAATGGCTTGGGACATATATCTTTTGGTAAGCATCTGTAACACTTGTGGCTGAGGGCTGAAAGCTCTCTCTAGCATTGAAATTTCTCTCTGCTGCAGTCGGACCTTTAGATGAGTTTCTGGTTTTATTGTATAAAATACACAGTATGAAGTACAGACGCATCCTTTCCCTTGTACTCCCATTGATCATTTTTCAGGCTGAATTTACACTGACTTGAACAATTTTCTGATATATTTCTCCAGGTTGACAAAGGCCTTTAACTGTTCTGAGGTTTTCATTGAACATCAGTCTTATCAAGGACAAGTCTCTTCATTCATGCAGTCTCTACAGCGATGGTTCAAGCCTGAATGATGACAATGACTGTCAAAGTATTCCAACAACATAGAGACATCAATAAGTACACTGGGACAACAGCTTTTGGAGGGATGTTCATTATTTTGTCCACTTCTTTGATTATCCACCACTTGAACTGAAATCATAAATGAACATGACAGCTTTCCAAAAATACAAATCAGCTCCATGCTGACATCACACGTTCTGTAGAGGTTCAGGAACTGAGAGCAACAGGAAGACCCGATACTGCTTACTTCAATGGTTTTACTGGTGAGGACTTTCTGTAATGTCATCATGCGCCAAATTAGTACAAGGAGGATGATTAAGTGGGAAGATGACTCACTAAGGAATGAACAGAGTTATCATTGCTATGGGTTAGTCCTGAACCAGTGGCCTTAGGAGCAAAATGTACTGCTGTTGTAGAAGGGTTGAAAGAAGTTGAATCTATGCTGTTCCTGGTTCCAGCGGTCCGAAACCTGACAGGGTTTGTGATAGTGGCACCCGGAATTGAGTCTTTTGTATATGCTACCCCAAGGGCAACACGAAGAATGATCAGAGTAGGGGCAATGGACTTGAATAATCTTCGTGAGCAGGTTTTTCTTTTACCAAGGAAGGAAGTGAGGAGCTACCGTCATAGAACAGAACAGGGCATTGAAGACATAGAAAATTGGGTTGTTGCGAACAAAAAAAGCGATATAGAAGAGTCCAGATATTGAGTACAATGCAGCAGATTCTGCAAAAGTGGCAATGATTGGATTATAATGACTGCTACTTTCAACTTGGACATGCTTCAATGCATGTTGAGCCATAATTAAACGTCCCGCAATAAGGAGGGTCACAATGATGTTCAATGCAACTGAAATAGACCAGAATGCCGTTCCAAAATGTGTGACCGCACTAGCGCCAAATGATGTATTTGGTTGGGCACTTGCATAGAGGAGGACTATGCCAGTTCCTAAGTAGGCCTGGGTTATCTAACCAGAACTCCATATATTGTCCAGATACGCACCAATACTGCTCAAGTATATCAAAACTGGGAGTATGATAATGTGCCAGGAGCCACCCCAGATTATATATGCCCTGTAGATCTAAAAGAATCCTTTTTGGTTTGTGGAGGGTTATTCAAGTAAAACTGAGGCGCCTACGATGAGACTGTCTGCAAGCCAAATGTTCACAACGGATGCAGTGTCTTTTAAGATAGACAATGGAGAAGACAGAAGCCCAGCAAATTCCGATGGGTTTACCGTAGTTTCAACAAATTCGACCTCGCTCCATATTGCTGCCCCTATGAAGTAGATGGTGCTCACTACAAAAATAAGGATGTTGTAGATGAGCCAAGGCCACTTTTGATGCCTCTGAGTATGTTTCATCTGAAAATGAAGACATATTGCTGCAAGGACGAAGTAGCACCCTAATAATGGGATATATCCACAATATGATAACATATAGAGTTTTCAGAAGGCTCACCATAAGTCACACATCCCACAACCGCTGCAGCATAGCTCAAACGGCTTTGAGTCAAAGCACTAGACATGATTTGTGTAGGAAGCATGTACCTCAACAATTCATTTTAAACCCAGTCGATCTGCTGATTTGTCATCACAAACTAACGTCTGTTTTCAGCCAGTTGCTGTAGACCATTCAGTATAAGATACCAATTTCTCGCCATATGCCGTTGCCGCACAAAATGACGAAACCCATATGCATAAAATGGAAAGAATGAACCAGTTGACCATGCATGCACCCTGTGAAAATTCTCACAACCTGTCGGTGATATATGGTTCATGTGTCTTCATAAGTCAATTGTTTTCAGAGGAATCATGTTTATCTTGACATCACAAATCATTGGTGATGTATCATCTTCATTGCTCATCAAAATCTTGATGGACATCGAAAATCAAGTCTCAGATTGCTAGGCATTTAGAAAAAGATTATCTAGAACTTGCAATAATTAAACCCGGAAAAGTAAAATGGCACAGCACTTGAAAATATCTCAATGGAGATAATGAAAATATCTCAATGGAGATAATGCCCCATATTTTCGAATGATTGCCTAGAATCATATCTACAACATATTCATGATCAGTCAAATTGATGTTCTACATGTTAGACTGTTCACTTGGTGTTCAAATTCTATGCACAGCGGGAAGAGATTACAGGGTACAGGCTGAAAGTTGATCAGCCACTTGATAATGTTCATTACAGCAATACTGATATGTGAAGATGGGCCATCACGCTGCACTTGTGGTAAAGATAAATCATCATAGTAGTTGAGGAAGTAGTAGGTTTGGATGGTATCCAAATCCAAGTTACAAGGGGTAGAGAGTAGCAAGAAGCGTAGCACTCAAAATATGAATGAACCCAATCAGCTGAATGTATTACTAAAACAACTCAATATCAAATACATGGATAAAGTAATTGGGGGGTAAGCCTGCAAGATCGCAATAATAGAAGCCAGCGGCTGCTATAGTTTTCGACGCAAATGTGTTGGATAAAATTGTGACATTATTCAGTTGTCAGAGGGCTACTTCTTTTAGATTCATATAGACATATAGTTTACGTCATCAAGAGATAGATGAACTACGAGAAGTGAGGTTCATGAAAGTGGATATATTGTAGAAAACAGCATAATATCAATACATTCAGGACAACTGGAGAATTCGGAGATGTCCCCTGCATTTAGACCTGAAACCATCTACAAAAAACATTTGTTCCTATTGTAGAGTTGGTACCGTATCAAATTCACGTCTGCCCTCTTTTTGCAACATTGTTAGCGAGATAAGAGACTACAAAACATCTTTCCAGCCAGCGCTGTTCTAATTATTGGTAGAATTATCACTGCCACACTCCAGCTGGTCCAAAGGTTCAGTATAAAAATCGCATATTTTATATTTTTCCCCTCTGTGATTCCTATCTTGAGCTCCGATTCGGCCTTGGCTCTTAATGCTGCACCTTTTGACAGTGATTGGAAATTGTCAGTCATTATGTATACTGGATCGCATCACTGTTGATCTCGTGTTATCTCCATGAGGAACGTGGTGCCTCATATGAGATGATTGCTTCTCCCTCATGTCAAGAACATCTGTTCTTGGTGGGCCATCGAAGACTATGAATACAAGTCCTTTGTTCACACCAATGCTGCGGGCTTAATAGACCATAAACATTCGGCAACTCCCGTACATTGGGTAGCTATTTTCAAACAATCAATTTCAGAATCAATTCACACCTTACACCCTCAATGACTTTATGACGTTGGTGTCCTGATATCTTTGGTAATGACATATGATGACAACAAGTGAGAATTCTCTCCTTGAAGGAGATATCATGAAGTCCCATGGTCAGCTGTCAAAAATATCGATCAAGGTGGCAGCTTGAACTGACACTTTCCTTGAATGTGAGAATTACAAACATCTGCAAAACCTGTATGTTCAACTAATTGTTCAAGAGCAGCCGAGAGCACTTCCCAGCAGCCAAGGCACCCAAAGTTGGAAGCATTGCTCCCAGTGATTTGGGTGCTGGAGAGTGCTTTCCAGCTGATACCCTTGCTTTAGCAAACATACAATTCTTGAAACATGACCTTTGTATATGATATGGGAGTGTATGTTGGGGTAAATTTCCATTGAAAATCACCCATCCGAGTTAAGACCTTAGCAAAGATTCTAATCTCTCAAAACTGGCTAGGCGGTGACAATTACTTACAGCCAACCACACATCTCAGAGTGTGGTTTGGAAGATTGGAGTGTTCCCATGTTTTTTAACTCAAAATCACAGAAAATTAAGCTTGCAAAATCAGTTCTAGTCTACTCCATGAATTTCGGCTTGAAGTGACTATTAACAGAGGCAAGATATGGAGTATGGTGTGGAGTCAGCCCAAAAATACCGCATAATTGGAAGGTCTGATGGAGAAAACACGTTTTGATCAACATCAAGCCCATTTGGAAGGTTGAGGAACCAATTTCCTCTACCGTATACTGGGTTCCCGAGTGAATAACAATCTATATAAGGGCCCTTAAACAATCGAGCTCTATTCCTTTACCCCCATTGACAACTACACCTCATACAATGCAAACCACTATCCGTTGTGTTTTCTTGGTGGTTTTTACTTTGATGATATCTGTGTCAGCAATTCCGGTATCTGGTGGTGATGGTAGATATTTTCATAAATGATCCACTAAGGAGTAACTCAACATCACTGTAGTCCACAATGCATTCGTTGCGGATGATAGTCCGGAGTCCGATGGATTTGCTGAAGATGGCGTAGGCTGGTTCGTTGCTATTCCAGCTCTAATGGAACTTGAGCCTGAGGATTGGCAATGAGAGTAGTGAAACACACTGTTGATTGTGATTATATTTGACATTTTACTTTCCTCCCCTAACTGACAGTGTCTTACAGAGGTAGTTGGTCATTTATCACCTTGCTTGCCAAAGTTTCCCCCCTGGATTGATTCATGTATTTCATAAGAAAAATATGCCCCGACATAGTTATTTTATCTTTCTGACTTGCCCACTCTTTGAGCTCTTCTCCATTCTTGAATGACTTCCTCGAACCTATATAATTAATTTCCTAAAGAATCATTTCAAGTGTCGTAATCCAACAAGGCCAGGCTTAGCCTAGCTGATGTTGGTCACTGCTCATTGACTTCATCCATCAGGTTTATATAACAGTCAAAAATAATACAACAAGTAATTGCTATTACTGTTGGTATTATAATTATCTGCAAATCCTGTATGTTCACCAGAGCAAAAGTACTAGCTGAAGGGCACCTTTCAGTGCCCAAAGCACTGAGAGTAGCTCTGGCTGCTAGGAAGCACTCTCAGCCCTTTGGATAATTAGCCAAAAATATAGTTTTTACAGATGATTTGGTCCCTCAAGAAGTTGTCAGTACTACTATGTGGTTTGTATAGAGGTAGACTTGAATCAGACGGTAATATACATCATAATACCACTACAAGTGCCACTCAATTTGTGTGCGAAAGTGCATCTGCAAAACATGTATACTCGCCAGAGCAAGGATACTAGCTGGAGAGCGCTTTCCAGCGACGAAAGCACCCAAAGCAAAAATCAAAGCCTGCTCTGGGTGCTTTCACTGCTGGGAAGTGCTCCCAAGTGCTCTGAGCTGCTTTCGGCTATTTAGCCGAACATACAGGTTTTGCAGATGTGTTCCAAAACATTGCCAACATCTCGTTGTTGGTGTTTACAATCGTGCCTCATGATATGGAAATTCAAAAGCTGACCAGTAGACAACCTGTATATATTCTGGAACAAATATACAGCCCAGAGTGCACCTTGGACAAAACCTTTGTTCAATATCCTAAGCAAATATGTACGCATCATTGTCTATAGCTGTTGGGTTTAGTTGAGACTTCCAGAACCCGTGCCAGAGGGTCCTTTGCAAATTAAGTCATTATTGCATCTGTACAACCTGTATCTTCGGCTAAATAGCCGAAAGCAGTACAAAGTGCTTTCCAGCAGTGAATGCACCCAGAGCAGGCTTTGATTTTGGCTCTGGGTGCTTTTGTTGCTGGAGAGTGCTCTTTCCAGCCAGTATCCTTGCTCTAGCGAGTATACAGGTTTTTCAGATGAGTGCTCTGGTAAAAAAACCTGTAGCCGACCGAGATCATTCTGGAACAATATGCTAAGGCTTATGCTGAGTTAACTTGAGAATTTCATAATAATTTCATATTTGCCACAAAATTATGGCTTCATCCCCGTAGTGATCCTTACGCAAAGTTTTGCTGCATTGTTTGAATTTTCCCTTGAGATGATCATGGAGTCTCTGGCAGTTCGAATTTGATGTTGGGCGTCACTGAATTACATATATCAATACAGCATGTATCGCTCTGATACTTGTTTACACTTTCTGATGATATATTCTGATGACAGCAGAGTGCACCCTGTTCAACATATATGCTCCATCATATAAGACGTCCGATTTTCCTTGGCTCAACCCAAATCTCAGTCATGCAACATTGTTTCCCTCGATTTCTCTCGCTAGCTAAGCTTGCCCTTGCAATAACCAGTTTATTACTGCTTGCTATCAATGTACACATGTTTCTCCAGCTACTGCAAGTGCCAAGTGTAGCCGATAGTGGAAAATATCTGGACCAATATAGTACGTCAATAATTGATAAGAAAATGTCAGAATACTTCTGACTCGAGTTATCATCAAGGCTTTATTGATGATGATTTTCCAGAATATTACCCCTTGGTACTCAAAAAAGTGATGTTCACTCCGGAAAATACAGTTCACTATCAGGTTTATTCAAACAATTCCACTCCGGAGTGGCAATCTATTTTCCCAAGCGGAGGAGGATTTCTCCAATTAGGGAATGATGGACAAAGAGTCATGGGGCTCTCAATGTTCCACCAACTCCACTGCTTGGCACGCATTCGCATTGCAATGAAAACAAATCACCAAACTCCCCATGTGCATCATTGCTTCAACTATATCAGACAGATGATATTATGTGATGCAAACCCAGCAATTGAGCCAGTTATTCCCATTTTGGGAATGAAGAGTGTGAATGCAGAGGTTCCCCATATCTGTAATGACTGGTCTCAAGTGTATCATATGGCTACAAACAACTATGAAAGTAGTACAGGGATTCAATAATTACAATGTAGCTCCTAAATCTGCACGAGCGTCAGTAAAGTGATGTTTTTTCAATACAAATAAGTTCCTGAATGTCACCTTATAAGTAACTTGGAATTTACCTTAAGGGTCATGCTACAAAGAAGGCAAGTAGTGAATGATGAAATTTCCTTACTGCATCAGTTTTTTCTTAGTGCCAGCATCATCTGATACACTGCCTTTGTCTGCGATGTGAGAGATTTTCCCAAGGAACCCAAAGATTCCTGAATGTTCCACGCTGACAGCCATTGAATTTTCACCTCTCAACTACAGGTATTTGAACCTGGCTCCAAGACTTCTGATACAAAACTTAATGAAGTAAATGCCGAACAGCATGCCAATAAGAGCAAAATGACGAGAACACCAATTTAGTCCAGTCCCTGGATGAAAGACAGCACATGTGGAAGTGGGCTGGCATTGTGTTTTGCATGTGGCATATATGAGTCCTCATTGGAATTCAGCGGTACCAGTATAATATACATTTTCTCAGTAGCACAGTCAAATTTCCAATACTATGGGCATGTGTTTTCTAAACAGTTTGAACTGCGTTTATTGAAACTTCACGCCCTTTGTCAACCGGTTTTGATCTAAAATTTCAAGATATCAGCCGCTGTCCGGCTATTGTTCTGCAAATAATCCTAATTATAGTCTATGAACACTTCACATCAATCTTCTTCGATTCGGCTGAACTTCACACCTGTCTCAACTTGTTTTAGTCCGAAATTTCGAGATATGAGCTGCTGTCCAGCTTTCATTCTGCAAATGATTCCTATCGGAAGTCATAGTTTATGAACACTGCCCATGTCCCTAATATTGTTAGATTAGGCTGCATAGATGGACATGGTCTATTAGACCATGTCTTGACCATACTAATTGTACATAATAATACATGCTCAGCCTAAAATTTAACAGCAGTGGACACACAAATACTAAAGACCGCTTTTCAGCTCATCCTTGTCATTTTTGGGGGCAGAAATGAAAGCACGAAACTTCACAATAATAATGCAACCCCAGATGCTAGTTGGCTAGGCGTCAGGCTGCCTGCAAACCTCCATATTATATTATTCATCTATACACTGATGCATTCCGTTGATTCATACTGGTTCATTTGAAATCCACTCTTGTTCAGTGATGCTGCAGAGGCAGCTGCACCAAGATAAATGAATGTGAATATGACGATATTGATCAGACAGGGTCCACCGACTTACTCATTGCTGTAACTCCTTCAAGCGGAAATCCAATTATACAATCTGGATGCGGGCACTTCCACTCGAAAAAGAGGAGTGTATGGGAGGGACAATAAAATGGAGGTGTAGCAGTGATTGCCCCAGGTGAAGTCAGCAAACTCCCGAGAAAGGTCCTATGTGTCGACTTGAATCTTGGGCCATCGAGAAGGTAGAGATCTACTAAATGCACATTGGAGTCGGTAAAACCATCTCGAGGAAGAAACTGTGCTGAAATAGTGCAGTTCTCCAGGCCATAGTCTGCAACATATATCTCGACGTAAGAGTCTACCTTCAATTCATTATTAAGCGAATCTATTCATAGTGAAAGAAATTTGATATTGCTTACTGACGCCCCAAAGGTTAGGAAAGATTTATCATCTGGAGCGTGAATTTTTGTGAGGGCAGCGGGCTCATCCAATGAGTAAGTCCAAAAAGATCGGGGAAATGTCACTCGTCTGCGGCAATGGAGCGCATTAGATGGAACACGTTCCAAGCCGATATATACATTTGGACTTTGAACTTCATCTAACAACATAGAGTGAGAGGAGATTGTGTAGGATAAAAAAGTGAGGTTTATGGAAGATATCACAAATGTCACAATGGACAAAATGGTGAATATGATGAATCCACGCTGGTGCCGTTGAGTTTGGCTATTCCCCGCATTGGTTGCAAATATATCATAACTGACATGACTTGTATCTGGGTCTTGTGTCGCTAATGGGATGTACTGGGGCATTCTGGAATATACAATGTACACAAGGTTACAATAATCTCATTTTAAATAGCCATTGCTATTTTGGTATTCAAATTTCATCTACTTAAAGGGGAATTCCTCATGTATTGAGCAGCTAAATCTGGTAATGGATGATGACTATATCAACGGAATGAAACTGGAGTATACACCAACACAAAGGCTGTACTATGACTGAATTCTGCAGCAGATATAACTCCATCAATCTTGCAATCTGTGCAAGAAAAGGCTGTACATCTTGTGCCAGAGTGTTGCGGCAAATAAAAGATCATCACTAAACTGTCAAATACACTCCATTAACATGCTTGATGAAAAAATTTCTCAGGCTTATATTAGAAATGAATATCTATATCCAAAATGGCCAGCGCACAGAGCACATGGTATTTGAACTTATCCTGTAACAAGTTCAAACTGGGACCCTATTTAGAGTGCTGTAATTAATGTACAGCAAACACGTCTGGAGGAGTATGCTCTTTCCTGGTTCCTGTCATTTCACAAGTGCTGCGACAAGATGGTCGCTCTTGGGATATAGTGTCCTGGTAGTATCAATTATTGTCAATGGGGCTGTCTTTCAGCACTTCTATACCAGGAACATTAGCCCTAGGACCGTGGAAACATACAGTCAGTGATTCATGTCTCAGTTCAACCCCAGTTACTCATACATTCTTTTCAGCATTTGTTGAATTTGACTTTCCATTGAGCGTCATTCCAATCGAAAACTACCCTTACAATTCTCGCCTGCTGGTTGAGGACACCGTGAGGTACCAGTTGAATTCTACAGAGGAATGGCGCTCTATGTTTCCAGAGAGTGGTGGATTTGTTCGTCTAGGTTCACAACATCGCTTGTTTGGTGTCTCAATGTTTCACCAGCTCCACTGCCTGGACAAGTTGAGACAATCTGTTTTGGCGGTGCCTTCTACTCAGTGGGAGCGATGGCATACACAACACTGCTTAAATTACTTGCGCCAAATGATACTCTGTGCTTCCTCAATGCGCTTAGAGGATGTAAAGAATGGTGAAAAGGTGAATGGACTGGGATTGGAACATAAATGCCGTGATTGGAGTGTTTTGTATAATTATGCAGCAGAAAATTTCAAGGATTGGCCTGCAGATGTTTATCCGTAACCAGCCCATATGGGTCTTACGGCCTGGAAAACTGGATTGATTTCATAGTATTGATTGTATGTACCAGGTCACTTGATTACAATAGATTGCTGTTTGCATACATCCGAGGTGGAAAATAGCTTCACCCCAGACATATGGCACTTGGCACCAGTTGTTCCCAACTATCCATCATGCCGGGTCGTGTCAAGGGAGAAGTCAACCGGCGTCGGGAGAAGCCCAGATATCAAGTCTCCGATCACGACGGGGATTACATTGACATATATTTTTATCCACTTTTGTGGCTTGTGTGATATGGTCTAGACAGCATTTAAGGCCCCGCGAATCCCCTTCTTGCAGCTCATTGATCCCTTTCTTGTAAGTATATACCATGGAACATTCTCATCCTGTGGCTGTTCCGGCAATGGGAATTTCAGAGCATCCTGTAAAGGATACCTCTTTCTGGCTCACAATGTTGGCCATTATGCTGGCTACATTCCTGGCCGCTCTTGACACAGTAAGGCATGAAAACTTTCAAAGTTGAACTAATGAACTGACTTATGCAGAGTGCTGTCTCAACAGCACTTCCAACAATCATCAATGACTTTGGTGGCGGCGAGTTTGTATGGATTGGATCTGCATACACGCTTGCAGGCACTTCATTTCTTCCACTTTCTGGACATTTAGCAAACATTTTTGGGCGGAAAATGGTACTGTTGATGTCTCTCTTCCTTTTTTCACTGGGGAGTGCACTCAGTGGTGCTGCTCAAAATTTGAATATGCTGATTGGAGGTCGTAGTAAGCTGTCTTCATTATTGAATTTCTACTTGGACAATTCTCATAGATTGATGTTATCAGCGGTTCAAGGCATCGGGGCAGGTGGAATCTTGTCTCTTACGGAGATCATTCTTGCAGATCTGGTTCCCCTGAGGAATCGTGGTGTGTATCAAGGGATGATTGGCATTGTATGGTCTATTGCATCGGTCATTGGTCCTGTTGTAGTATGTTCTATTTAAGAAGCATAACTCCTTGGCCTAATAGTGCATCAAAGGGTGGATCTTTTGCTCAGAGGAAGGATTGGACATGGAGAGGGTTATTCTGTGAGTGTATTCCTAACACTTTCATCTTAATTTACTGATGTGGGCACCACTCAGATTTGAATTTACCGCTTACTGGGATATCAGCTTTGCTCTGCATCTTCTTTCTCCATCTTAAAGCACCAAAATCCTCAATCCCAGACAAGATTGCAAAGATTGATTGGATGTACGTCTCAATTAAGTTTTATGCACAAGGTCTTTCCCTCATCCGGTTTTAATGAAACAGAGGTAATATTATTATTATTGGCAGCTGCACCTCTTTTCTTCTGGGTCTAACCTGGGGCGGTGTTCATTTTACCTGGTCTTCCGTGGCTGTTGTGGTCCCAATTGTCCTTGGTGGTTTGGGAATGATTGCTTTCCTGATATATGAATCTCTGATTCCTACTGAACCTATGGTCCCTTGGGTAATACTGAGTAATCAAACAACAGTCAGCGGGTACCAACTGTTCACTCTATGCTTCTTCAATGCACTAAATTAGCTTCCCCATAGATACCTTGGAACTGCATTACAAGGATTGGTGATTTCTGCTGCACTTTGTAAGCACAATATCTTGGCATTGACTATGATGGGGACATCAATGTCTATTAGTCTATCTTCCAGTGTATTTCCAGGCCTGTAAAGATGCATCCCCTTTGCATAGTGGCATAAACATGCTACCATACAGTTTTTCAATTGCTCCATTTGCAATTGTTGCTGGTGCAACTGCAACAGCCATGAACATATATCAACCTCAGAATATCATTGCGTGGTGTTTTGTGATCATTGGCATGGGTCTTCAAACAACATTGACTGAAAACAGTGCAGTGCATGAATGGGTCGGCTTTCAGATAGTTGCGGGAATTGGTTTTGGCCTTCTGGTGGGCATTTTAAATGAATTCAATAAACACTTCATGTTGAGAAATTGGATTTTTCATGCAGTTCACTGCAACTACTTTCCCTATTTTAGCTCCCTTACCGGTAGAACACAATGCAAGTGCTCTAGCATTTTTCATTTTTGTTCGTTCACTATTTCAGGTATGCATCTGAGTATGACAGTGTCTTTGTTCTTAGGCGTTTTTTCCACAGGCATGGGGTGTCACAATTGGTGCTGCAGTTCTGCAAAATGAGTTGCAGTCCCAGCTTCCTTCCACATTTTTGGCTAGCTTGGACCAAGGAGTGGAGCTTGCTTATGCAATAATACCTCAAGTCCCCTTTCTTGATCAGCCTTTGAAAGATGAGGTCCGTTCTGCATTTGCAAAGTCATTGATTGCACTATGGCAGACAATGACTGGGATTGCTGGACTTGGACTACTTAGCAGTCTGATTATGAAGGCATTGCCTCTTCAACAAACAACTGACGAGAATTGGGGACTTCATGAAACTGTTGAAGGGAATATTCAGAAGGATTAGTACTCTGACATGCTTTGCCCATTTCCACAACCCTGTCAAACAGATTCTTGAGCCCCCTATCTCTCCACAGACTTCCTCAGTACCTCCCTTCCTTCACTACCCACCTACTACCGAGGACCTGCTCAAACCCACCTCCAAAGCTCCATAGATCCCAAGCACCATGTTTCCAACTCCCTAGTATAGAGGGAACACCACCACCAGATCTCAGTCCCTGTCACACCTACTGATTGTATACCTCCAAATGTCCCCTTGTCCACTTCCCATACCTATATAAGCCCCATAGTGCTCAGTTGCTCAGCTTGGATTTTAAACACACCCTTTACATGTGCCCAGTCTATGTTCTTTTGTACCTGGTAGCCATATGGATTCCCTTTGTCTCAGTCTCCCCATGTCTCTACTTGAATGTACACTTTCACTCCATGTCTAAGCATCCAGAGTGAGTCTAGGACCTCCCCTGACATGTACTGAAGCTCCCCAATATTCTACTATATTCTCAAGCTACTACCTTCAACTCTCTGTAAGGCCTGGGTTGGAGTAGGTCTTTGAAGTAGTTGGTATGTAGTAGGGACTTATGGTGTATGTTAAGATCATGTATACCGGTTAGTGTATACTAAACTCAGTTGACTACTGTATTGAAATATGTACCTGTCAGTGTATACTAAAGTGAGCTAAATTAGTACTCGGGTTACTGGCATAAGATAGACTATCAGCTCACCTCAGTTGACTGTAGAACAACTGAGGTGTATGAGTTTGCCATTGCGTGTGATATACTAGCAACTGTATAGTATATAGTAATAACACCGTCTACGAAAAAGGCAAGTCCAAGCAAGATTACATATACACTGTACAGTTTATCAGCCACACGCAGACGACGGACGCGGGCTCCCTCAGTTGTTCCCTTTCCAACTGAGGTGAGCCCAATGGCTGTCTATCCGTGTAATACATACTCACAGTACATATAGTATTTACCTCTTAACAGGTATCTAATACAGTTGTTCCCTATCCAACTGAGTATTTACCTCTTAACACATTAGACATTCTTAGAAAGAGGTTGTATGGGCTTATAAGCTCAGTATAATACCATTTGTTAACTGAGGTTCATTCCTATAGGAATCTCAAGAGGAGGTTGGACTATTTATATAAAATTGATCCCTTTTTTAATGTGTTGCAAATTGCTTTAAAATAATACAATGATAAGTTCTCATCCCAGGATAAAGTGTGCCAGATAGAAAAGCTTCTGCTTTTGCCATGTATGACATTACTAAGGAAGGACAATATGGACAAAAATTGTGCTATACACTCATTACAAAGCCTGTGAAATGACTGACTATTGAGAATGTATCATACCAGTAATTGAATTCTGGGAACTACTGAGATTAGGAATATACTTTATCCATCCACAAGGCAATGTCCTTGAAGATTTCGGTCCTCTCAGGTTCATACCAATCCATTGTAACAATGTCATGGGTCCCATCCTTGACTTCAGTGTATGTAATCTTGTCACTCCCAATATCTTCCTGCAGACGGTCCCGTAATGTAACAAGAGCATCGCGTGCAGTCTCAGCACCACCGGCAATGATATAAGTCATTGGAAAGCCTACAAAAAGGTTTTTGACAACTGAATGATCAAGCTTGAGGGAAGCTGGGGAGATCCAAGGACTTGTTGCAATTGTAGCAGGTGCCAAGCTGCCCAGGAGGCTCCGAGCAGTGTATCCTTTTGTGTAAAATAGATTGCTAAAATCACTGCAGGCATTTGTTGTCCAAGAAGATTCGGGCCCATTATGAGTGATCTCCCATTCCACTGATGCGGAAATCAAGACAAGACCTCCTGGGATAGGTAAACTAGGAAGCTTGTTTCGAGTGGCATACAATGTCAATGCCATAGCAAGATTACCTCCTACAAAATGACATCAGCTTACTTATTAGCTACGGTCTCATTCAAATGCACCCGCTGAATCACCACATACAACAATATTCTGTGGCCTGAAACCAAGCTTGATAAGGTATTTGTACCCTGAAATGACATCAAAGAGGCCAGCAGGGAATGGATTTTTAGAAGGGTATGGAGCAGATGAAGCTAGCCGATATCCACAGGAAAAAACTCGCTTAATCTGCACACAGTGCTCAAGCAAGCCTGAGCACACCGGACCAGCGGGTCCTCCATGAGGATGAGCCGAGCCCATGACATGGCCGCCACCTATCACACTGGAATCACAGGAATTTGACATGAGCGAGTAGGAAAGCTTACTATGTATATGTAATATAACCTGTTCATCCGCAGCTGGCTGCTCACCATTTGGCTGCATAGAAGGAGGGTACCAGTATCCTGCTGTTTTTACAACTGTGACATTGTTCACTTTTGCTGCCTCTGCGACCTCGCCAACAATTTCCGTCTCTTCCAATGGCTCAACCCATACAAAACCAACTTCTGAAGCAGTTGAAGAGGCGGCAACTGCCTCAGGATCCTCGCCAGTACTATACATGAATCCGACTTGGAAAAATGTACTCATGAAGGCATTGATTGTATGAAATATCAGAGTACGACGATTTGACCATGCCTTGCGGGGACGCAATGCAGGAATTGCTGCAGTCATGGCCCAAAATGGAATTCTACCAAGGACAGATAGAATGAAGCAAGTCATGTATACTGCCTTGAGTGGTTGCGTGCGGAAGAAGAATGACATTTTGAGGAGATATTATAGTCTGGTGTTGGTAGAATAAATATGAACCATGTGTGAGCACGGTCGTCCCCATTTGCAATTGATCAAGCAGCTATAGCTAGTACGTACCAAGTCCTACAACGTAAGCATGTGGGTGATCACAGTGCGGCAAGAAAAGAATTCAGATTCAGCGGGAGAAGAATGGTAAATTGATTGATGCACAGTTCAATGTCCGATATCCGACCGTTCTCAAGCTTTGAATTCATCCAGAATTCATCTTATATCATAGAAGGATTATGCACGATTCAGCCATGTCACGTGACTGGGAAGTGGGCACTATTGACAACAAAAACACAGATGGCACCTCGTAGAGTACAGCACCACAGAACTGATGGAAATCTAGTCTACAAACTCAGAACACAAGAAGAGATGATGGTAATTCCCATTGCTAGAACTTCTTCAAAAGAACAGGAAGGTATGTTTTGATTGCAGAAAAGATGTACTACAGAATAAGGCCGAAACAGTAACATGATTTTTGCAATGACCCCCGCACATCATTGCACTGGTGTTATATACTAATAGCCCTAATTTCTGTCTTAATCAATTTCCAGAAAATATGTTGTGCAGCATATTATTCAGGTTTCCTCATGTGAGTCATGACTTTAGGCCACATTATACATCAGCCCAAATATTCACATAGGATGAGAGGACACTGGAGCATTTGATCTCGGTAATAAGACAGATATAGTAGTCAATGAACTCACTACCTTACTTGTCAGGGTCTCTCTGCCACCAACAATTGAAGCAATTTCTGGTGTCTGTTGTACATGTGTATGAACGAATAGGTGATTTTCTCACATAAGCTTACACTCTAGATAATTCAACCTCAGGTTCAGCACTACTGGGCACCTTTCTGCCTCTTGACAACCTAATTACTGACTTGGGTTCAACAAGAAGAGAATATGCTAACTCAAGATGAAGAGTATGAAGAGTACCAAGTAGACTCAGCAAGATTTAAGAAATAATCCATTTGAGACTTTTTTGGACTTGAGAAATACATGATCATGAGCCTTCCAGGGCCTCATATACATATAGACTATGGAGGTGTTCAATATCTATAAAAGTATTTCAAACACCATTGTATCCTGAGTTACAATTTCTTCCTTCATCTCTTGAAGCTCCTCCCTCCATATAGCAATTACAGCTAATATACCTGTCATTCAACCACAGTCATCTATCCCTGGCTTACCAAACAATTGTATCTGCAGTTAATATTGGGGAATCAATCACCTTGAATGTCTTCAGATAACTCCTTTGTTGAATCTCTCAAAACCAATCCAGGGTGTAATCCAACTATGCAGACTGGGGTTTCCTCAAGATCAACCTAAAGCATCTCAGTCATGCGGAGGAGAGCCGCCCTGCTGATCTATCAAGGTTACTGATATCCCTAAATGTATTTGATCATGATATGTTAACTCACAGTATATGCACTATTAATGATTGCAGAGACTAGGTTAATCATGTGAGGTGGAGCATTAGAATCCTGATTCATAAGCAAAAGAGCTGCTTTAATTAAGTGATATGTTCCAGTGACATTGGTATCAAGGGCCAAGCCCCAATCCCCTGGGTATCTTGCTGAGATAGAAACGGATCGATCCACATTGCTGCCAAATTCATCAATACATCAATGTAGCCAAGCACGGAAGTGAATTTAGACTCGGAGTTGAAGGAGAGTAGAGGAGGGGAATGGTGTAGGGATGTTCACTGGGTTTTTAAGTGGTTTGAGTAGGGTTTGAGAAGGGAAAGCGGGAATAAGGGGTGAGAAGGGAAGTGATGGGAGGGGTGAGGAGAGGGCACAGGGAGGGAAGGGAGAGAAGAGTTACTCCCATTGTCGGGCCCTCAATATTGAATATATCAAGATAAAGGCTTTTGGATGTGGGTTCTGTCTGTGATTAGCAGTTGGTGGAGTTTCAATTTTTGCGCCCAGAGGGGGGTGGTTCAGATGTATTGGGGAAGGACTCGAGGAAGGGTAGTGTTAATGAATAGGAGTGTCCTGGAATTTGTGTGTGGTGGTAAGATGGATCTGGGCAAGGTGTTCACTGGTGGCTGGTTCATCTCTGTCAAATCCGTGTAACATCTTCCAGTCAAATTATTAGGCTTGAACAGAACATCAGGAGACAACCTCAACAAACAAACAAACACGCGGTACCATTGAACAGCTCAACTTCGCCAGACCTAATCAATAGTTCCCAATGTCGTGCTACTACTCAAAGGATGAATTGAATCCTATGGATCTGGAACGATGGAAACGGTTCGCGCCAGGACTCTGGATGATTGAGTGCCTTTTGCGAGGAGTCTAGTTAGTTAGGACTCCAAATATCGAAGGGAAAAAACTTTAGCGCCTATGTACCTTCACTCTTCCTCACTCCCTCACACTGGCAGGTCGAACAGACTCCTCACCCCGCCACCCCGGAGTCCAACTCCTCAGGGATTCGCGATTCGCGATTTCGCTGACTGATCTGCTGATGACCAACACAAACAGTGATTATACGAGGAATTCTTCTGGGCGAGGGTTTTGTCGGGAATGGGTGATGAGACGAAATGAAGATAGGTAGAGAGTATCCGGCTGGAAGATCGGGAGAGACACTGGGGATAGGAACGTGATGGGGGCGTCGAAGGGTCCAACCTGCTTCGGTCTTGGTCTTAATCGATGTCGTTGTGGGAGCGTTTAGTGCTACGTTCGACGCGGGGTGTTGTAAAAGACATCGAGGTTGTTTTCAGTGTTGCTGTTTGGTGAGAGAAAGGACTGAGAAGAAAAGGTGCGGACATAGCGTTGGAGATGGGTGCGGTGGCATGGTTGATGTCTGAAGAGCAATGGAGGGAGGGAGGGGAGGTGGGAGATGGTTGTCAGGTTGATTTAGGGGAACGAGGAAGAGAAAGGACGTTCTGATGGGCGTTTCATTCAGCTAAGCTCATACTCGGAATTACACCCCAAGTTCAAATTGACAGTGTAGTACAAATCAACCAGGGAATGAAGTTCTTGAAATGACTAGAAAATGATCTCATCAGCACGCTCAGCAAACCCAAAGCTCGCTCACTGCTCAAACGTTCAAACGCGCTCAGATCTGTCAGGCTTACCCTCAGTCCAGTCGCACCCAACCTTGCCCGCATTCCCTTCAAAGACCTCTGATCAAGCAATCCTCAATCTTCACCCCTACCCCCCCTCTTCGAGCCTTCCCCACCCCTTCACAATTCTCTTCATATGGCAACCTCCTCACACCGTCCAGTGGCGGAAAATCAGGCGCATAATCCATTATGGATGTAGGGAGATCGGGAATTGGAGCGGGGCATATTCAGTGTATGTTTCGTTCGTTGCGTGATGCCAGTTTCCAGTGGCGCGTGTGAGTCTCGCTTGACTCGTGTTCGAAGAGAAGAGAAGGGCCGGGAGTGGAATTTGGATGGGGTGGCGATGGGGTGGGCAGAGGTGGGCAGAGGTAAATTGGTGGTAGGCAATGAAGCCGCTGGGGTACATAAGGGGGTAGAATTAAAGAAGGGGTTGAGGAACAGAAGTAGATTCAAAGACGTACCCACCCCCTGCACCGATAATCGCTACTCAATGAACTGTCCATTAAAATTTATACGATGATCCCTCGTCCTCTCTTCTTTCGCTCTCGTGCCATCCTCTGCAAACGCGTCTGTAAACCAAAAACGAAACGGCTTTGCATTGTGGGCATTGATGTCGACCGTTGTTGGCGTTCTTGTTGTTGTTGACGTTCTTGGTATCGTTAACGATGACGTTGATCTAGAAGCAGCATTAACGCGTTCAGACTCGGAGTACTGGTGCTGCAGAAGATAAAGAAAGTACAGCGGTGAAGAGGTCCAGAAGGATGTCGATGAACAGCCGCATTGGGAGAGAGAGATTGACGAGGAACGATATGTCCACGTCCACAAAAGTATCATTTCCAAGCACGCGGGAGCACGCTACATTTGGCGCGAGCGGGCTCACGAAGTAGCACGAAGTGGATTTTGACGCTTGTGGGAGAAAGAATAACGGAATGGTTCGTTCGTTTGGATGATTGCAAGTAGCGCTAAGCGTGTGGAATAAAACATGTTCAAGATCTGAAAGAGGGACCGAGAGGGATGCGAAGGAAATTCTGTGGAATTTCCGATTTGTCGTGGTAGCGATAGAGAAAGACTTTTGGTTGAATTAGGCGCTGGAAAATATGTAGCCCAAATTCAAGTCTTTGACATCTCGATGAGTGTCAAGCCAGAGTGATCGTGCGGAGGGTATGTAAAGAGATAATGAGTTGAAGGTTTGCAGATGTGACGTATTTGATTGACAATGTTATCAAGGAGCTGGAGTGAGTCTAGAGAGGTGAGGGTGTTGGTTTAGCCTGAGGAAACCTGGAGGGCGGAACTCATCTTGTAAGGCTATCTAAGTTATATACACCACACTGTCTTTGTAGGCTACTACATATTGATAGCTTACTTCCAGCCAGGTTGTCAAGTCTCTACCATACCTTGATTGAGAATTCTACTTACTACTTTATTCTACTGATTAGTCTAAGCACTGCTCAAGAAAGCTCTTGAGAATTTACTTACTAGGTTCAATTGCACTTGAGGCAGAGCTCAGGCTGGACTAATTTGATTTGATGTGTTTATCATTGTCTCAGTCTTACACCACAATTCCTCCCAGCCCTGGGTGACCAAGTCAGGAGTCCAGGATTGATATTTTTCTGCCTAGCACAGCTGGGAAAGTGGCAGTTGATAGGAAATGTCTCCGAATCGGGGTATACATAGTGTTCTTTGAGCTACTAGGAAGCATATAAACTTCAACCTGTATATCAAGTATTTCGAACATTTACATAGTACCCTGTGTAGTTACTAATTGCACCTACATGTACATAGAATGTATGGGTTTCCACTGCTTTGATACTGCTATGTAAAGTCCCAAGTTAACTTGAAGGAATAAACACAGAAAACATTCATTATGTATATCTTTCATGCCCAAATCCTGTATGTACTTCATCCTGTTGTCCATGTGAACTTGCTTCGAATCATGGAGACAAATATGTGGTGAATGAAATTCTCATTTGAATTTTGTGGGGACCATTGCAGTACGGTTGTTTGGGAATAGCAGGTAAATAGTTGAAAAAAAACATCGAGAGGTACTAGAGCAGGGTACGCCTGAGGTAGGACATCTCCTGTTATACTAACAGCTTCAATGACCTCAAAGAGCCTGCAGTTCATCTGCAAAACCTGTTTTTTCGGCTAATTCTCCGAAAGCAGCTGAGAGCACTTCCCAGCAGCCAAAGCACCCAGAGCAAGGTTGAAATTTTGCTCTCGGTGCTTTGGGTGCTGGAGAGCGCTCTCCAGCCAGTACCCTTGCTCTGGCGAACATACAGGTTTTGCAGATGTTGATTTGTTCATCGAGGATAGTAGCCTGTAGGTAGGGTCAATGACAAAGCGTGGTGACTTTTCAAGCAACGGGAGGAACTTAGAGAGAGCGAAAGTTCAGAAAAGAAAATCGTGAGGATTATCTCCGCGTCGGAATGATTCTTCGTATGTCGCGGAATAATGTTGATACCGCCTGATAATTGCAAGCAATATCGGGATTGATCCATGAGAGAAGATTGCTGTGAGAAGTCGCCCACAGAGTTGATGTAGTACTTACAATTGTGATTTCCAGCGCCCATCGCGGCTCTGTATACAATTTACGTATATGTTGCAGTATGGTCGTAGGATGAGGGGGGTATGTGTTGTGGGTCAAGAAAGATCATCAGACTCTCAGATGGCCGTTGACGCTTCTTGCTGTGTGGTTTAGTATGGATTTCGAAGAGGAACGTGTGTTGTGGGTCAAGAGAGATCATCGGATTCTCAGATGGCCGTTGAAGCTGCCCGAAATTTGTAGTGAAAGATTCAACTACGATCAGAAAAGGTTGTTCAAAGTCACCCACAGAGGTGATGTAGTACAATAGTAAGCTGAAGAGGAACATGATCTGGGGGTCGAAATAGATCATCAGACTCTCGGATGACCTTTGAAGAGTGGGGACCAGGTGGGAGAAACGTGGGATCTGATACCGAGTTGGCCATCCAACATCAACAGCTGCATATTCCATGTATCAATATGAATAGCACAGGAATTCGGTATTTGTGGCGATAAGGAATAGATGAAGTCTTTTGTGATTTTGCTCAGTTGATTTAGAACCTATTGAATGTAAAAAAGCGATAGCGGCGGACGATGTCGCTAAAGTATTATGGTAATACTACGAGTCCGACTTTGACAGTCGCCGCTAACGCAAGAAAAGAAACATTGCGATGTGGTATCAGGTCTGAGCGATGGATAAACTTTTTAGTTGTGGGAATTTCAACATCATGATGTGAATGCAGCCAGTACTAATTGGCAGGATGCACAACAATACATATTCTGTAGAGAGCATCTTACATGAATGACAGTACATCTGCAAAACATGGATGTTCACCAGAGCAAGGATACTGGCTGGAGAGCGCTGTCCAGCACTGAAAGCGGACAATTTTCATCTTTGAGAGATTCTGCTATTTTTCTCAGAAGCCTCCTGAGCTCAGGAACCCAAGGTAGCCTCCTTTCCAAGACTACTTTCAACAACTGGATCCATTCTGCACATGCCTTTGAGGAGGATGACTGGACAGAAACTGGATTTGTCTGGGAAATCATCAAGGCACATGACTTCAATAAAAGGTTGAGGCGTATCTATTGGAAGCGTAAGTCATTCATTTTATGGCATGTTACAAGAGAATACAACTAACTCTTACCAGTTGGAGCCATGGCTGGATACCACGCAGCTATTGCAATCCATCCTGGCACAATGTATGGAGTATCTGTGCTGCTTTCTGGTCATTATCCTGATGCAGGCAAAATTGCATATGATGTGTTTGAGGTATTCCAACCACACCTTGATACTGTGCTTGCAGAGCTCGCAACCTCTCTGTATGTTGGGACTTGGGTCAAATCCGACAGTAATACCACTGTTGCTGTTGCCATTGACAAGGGCACATTATATGTGGACAAACTTGTCCTAAATGGAACTAATATTTTCACTTATTTCGATCCCTTCTCAGACCGACTTGCACTGAGATCCACGGAACAATTGGATGAATTTAGGTAAAATACTTGCTGCTTTTTTTGATAAATGACTTATGAGGTTGAATAACAATAGAATTGATGTTGGTATCCCATTCTATAATGGGAAACGTCATATGGGCTGTTATCCATATTGGGCTGAATTGGATCTATAGGGTCAGCGCAATCAGGCACCCCTCAATGTGATCTATTTTAGCGGTGATGCTCAATCCCGTAGATTACATGTTCCATCAACTGGGTTCACATTAGAACGTCATATCTAAAACAGTTCGGCATAACTGGCTCCTGTTTCTATTACTTCTGGGGATGGGAAATCAACGCTCATAGTTTTGTCATAGCTCACTACATCTGCTGAGTTGTAATTCAAAACAAAGTTTTGCATACCGCAAAAATTTGGATCCGGAATAAGATAGGACTTCTTATCTTTTCATATTTCTTTGTACTAGCTGGATTGTGACTAGATATTTTTAAACCTATTGTGATACCTCATGGGGCCCCATTCTTGACAGAGCTGTGTATCCATTTATCCACATCATTCCGAGTTGGTGCTTTGTGACAGTCTCCTGATTGCTATTGAATTTATGAAATGAATTTATAGCCTGAGGACCCCCTCTGAAACCCTTCTCAAGATGATATTTTAGATCAAATGCATAGAATTTCGTCTGCCAAACCTGGATGTTTGCAAGAGCAAGCATATGGACTGGAGAGTGCCAGCTATTAGCTGAAAATCCAAGCTTTACAAATGAATCAAAATGATCTTGATTGCCTCATGCCTTGATGCTTGCGGAGTTCAAAGTGTATCTTACCCTTATAAAAGCTCTCGTATCTATACAATTAAGCTTCATATCCTTCCTTTTCTCATGGGGAACAGTGGCAGCTATATAGCACAGTCTTTTCCTCCCAGCTCTAAATTTATGGTTCGAGATATCCCTGATTTATCCGGATGGATAATCATTGTAACAGGTATGTTGAATGAGGGAACTGTGGTTGATTCATGTACATTAATTGTTTAGGAGGAAACACGGGCATTGGCTATGAAATCATCAAGGTAAACTCAAGTGGACATAGCACAGACATTGGTACTGAATTTGATACAAGGCTGTTCTTCTAAAAAATGCAAAGGTTTACATGGCAACGCGGTCAAGTGAAAAGGCAGCTGTGGCTATAGCCAGGCTCAAAGTAGAGACTGGAGGAAAGGAGGCAATATTCCTGGAGCTTGATTTAGCCAGTCTGTCATCCATTAGAAATGCCGCCAATGACTTCAAACAGTTTGTTTCACCATTGATAATTGTCATCCATTACTGATTACATCTGATAACACAGGAAAGAGTCAGCATTACATGTGCTCTTCAATAATGGGTTTGAGCCTCTCTAAACACTACTTCACATACAATTTATGATGCCTTTTTAGAGGTGTAATGAACACCCCAATTCAGTTTTTAACAACTGATGGTTATGACCTTCAGTTTGGGACAAATGTCATCGGACACTATGTTCTCTTCAAAGAGCTTCTTACACCTCTTCTTGCAGGTGCACAAAGTTCCCAGGACAAGAAAGCACGAATTGTGAACATGTCTTCTTCAGCCCAAATGTTCATCGATACAATACATTTTGACACAATCAAGGATACACCAAAGCGAAGAAAGCTAGGATCTGCGAAACTTTATATGCAGAGTAAACTGGTGGGTTGAAAAGTCACACTGTGTTCTATTTGATTCATGTTGTGCAGGCAAACATTGTCCTTTCAAACGAGATAGGGCGCCGTTATAGCTCTGAAGGCCTAGTCTCTATAAGTCTCAATCCTGGAAACATAAGAACGGATCTACAAAGACATACACCCTCAGCATTCATGTTACTTTTTGTGAGTTTATTTAAGATCAGTATTTACAAATAAATTGAGTTATTTAGGGTTGGCTTTTCTCACCAGCATCATTGGGTGCTTTAACTCCCTTGTATGCTGGAGTATCAAGTGCTTCAGGTGACCTCAATGGCAAAGTATGATTGACTTGAACTGATATTCATTGCTTTGGTCTTACATGTTGTTTTTACAGTATCTGATTCCACGGGCACGTATTGGAAAAATGCGCCCCGAAGCCAGTGATCTCAGTGTTGGGGAGAAATTGTGGAAATGGCTAGAGGATGAGACCAAGAGCTAGTACAATATTTAGTATCAACACACTTGTCAACATCACACAAGGTATAACTCATTGCTGAAGTTTTCGAATGGATCTCAAAAGTGGGAGATTGATGTCTATAGTGTAAAATTATATAACTTCCAAGAAAGTTACTAGGTTGGAGTTCAATAGCCCTTGTTTTTACATACAACTCAAGTAGAAAATGCAGAACAAGCTCTAGATATCACCCATCCAGTGGAAGACCTGAGTCAGAAATGGTCTTAAGGGTGGGTTTGGTATGAGAAGTTTATGTTGTAGCATGCTAGGAGCAAGCTGGAGCTCGAAGGGAGTTACGGGAACTGCAACTGAGGACAGGAATGACCTAGTAGTAGTTCGAGTTGTGAGATGTGACCCTTGAAGGAGTTCCTAGAAGGTCCAGGGAGGTCCCTAGGATGTTAACAGAGAAGGTAGAGGTAACTAGAACTAGTAGATGTAAGAGTGTTGTGTAGTATAGATTGTACATCTGCAAAACCTGTATTTCCAGCTAAGAGTCCGAAAGCAGTCGAGAGAACTTCCCAGCAGTGAAAGCACCCAGAGCATGTTGCTTTCAGTGCTTTCAGCACTGGGATCTGCTCTCAGCCCTTAGCCGAATATCCAGGTTTTGCAGATGTAATAGCTAGGAACATCAATGTAGGATCATTGTAAATTGTAATTGTCAAGTCCATTCCTCGGCGCTCCATTCCGCCGCTCGGTATTCCGAAGATCCACCTTTTATTGTAATCTCTCCTTATTGTTCTTTCTCGCTACACATACCCTTTCGTTCTGGTTTTACTTTACCCTGCAGGCACTACACGTATAGCTCCTAGCAGTTAGTCTGGCGCTCCGCACCGGTGTGCTGATCTGTAGATATAAATACTGCCTGTACGCTACTGTAGTTCCTCAGTTTAATTATTGACTTAGATTCCCTCCTTAACTCTGTGCTCCTCTAAGTCTTCAGGTTCATCGCCTTGAAGTGCTCTCTACTATAACCTTAGGACTTAGACGTTCTTCGGTTCGCTCCTTGTCACTGGCGATACCGCCGCTCCGACTTGGCTGCTACTAGCTCCTCCCTTCTATACTCTTGATCTCCGGGGACTAACGGCGTAACGGCGGTGTTGTTAATAACTTCACTACTGTCCCACTCGACCTCCCGCTCTTAGACACCTTGTGGCCTCTGGCACGGTTACACGGTGTACATGATCTTAACAGTATAATTAAACTCAAGCCATTAACGTTGTACTGACATATCATTTTTTATGCCTCCGAGAACTCGAGCTCAATCCAGAGCTAACTCCGAAGAAAATACTTTCTTAACCACAGCTCAAACCTTTGCCCCTTTCTCCCAATCTATTTCTGCCATCGGTCAACCACGTCGCTGTAATCGCGGTTTCGGTCCAGCCACATTTCCTACTACGTTGACTCTTCCTGAGGCCATGGAAGAAGAAGAACAATTCGAATACAGTACTCTATATACCGGTGATGGATAACCTGTCCAAGTCTTGACCCCTTGCCGTGGACAACCCCCCGTGGTCGCTCCGGCTTGGGGCCGATCTACTACTTGAATTGATTCTCCCATCCTCCAAGCCATAGCTCGTCGTACTGGAAAACAACCTCAACGTCATGCTACTTCAGAATCTCCTCGTGACCCGCCTCCTCATTTCGATCTGGACGCTGGTGATCATGACGATCAAGAACCTCCTGTCGCCCCGATCCGGGGGCCGACAATGACAACAACAACAACGATGATCTGGATGACGACTCTGGCGGTTTACCGTGTGGTGAGCCTGGTGACCCCAGTGGACCTGGTGGACCTGGTGGTCCCGGTGGTCCCGGCGGTCCTGGTGGACCTGGTGGTCCCGGTGGTCCCGGCGGTCCTGGTGGACCTGGTGGTCCCGGTGGTCCCGGCGGTCCTGGTGGACCTGGTGGTCCCCGTTCCCCAATCTCTCCTGACATCCCCAACGAGCAACGTGCTATGTTGGAACTTCTCTTGGGTTTCAAGGGTTCCATTCTCGCCGCTCTTGGCCGCCCTTCTGACAGCTCTGAATCTAAGAGCAAAGTCAAGGAGCTGGAGGTATTCGATGGTTCGGACCCCCGAAAGCTCAAGACATTCTTTGTCAATCTTGCCCTGGTCTTTAATGACTGTCCAAAGTATTTCACCGACCAACAGAAGGTGAACTACACCCTTTCCTATCTCAGTGGGTCAGCCAAAGAATGGTTTATCCCTGATATCCTCGACCCGGATCTTGACTCGCTGCCGGCCTGGATGTCCTCCTTCAAAGCCCTTGTAAAAGAGCTTCAGGACAATTTTGGCGTTTACAACGCGCAAGGCGAGGCCAAAGATTCTCTCGGTAACCTGAAGATGAAGGAAACCAAAAACATCCGGAAATACAACATCCGGTTCAACACCCTGGCTGCTAGCACCAACTGGGATTCTGCTGCCCTGAAATGGGCTTATGGACGAGGTTTAGCTGAACGTATCAAGGATGAAATGGCGCATTTGCCCGAGCCGGCGACTCTCGCCGATTATTGTCAAGAGGTTCTTCGTATTGACAACCACTATTGGAAGCAACGAAGAAACCAAGAAACGTGAGGCTGGTAAACTTTTATCACTCGGAACCTGGAGAAGGGTTCCTCGGACTTCAAAGCTGGTCCTACTAACCAGCAAAACAACTCTCAGCCATCTGGTTCTTTGGCACCGCTCACGCCAAAACCTAAACCTTTCTCTGGAGGTAAACCTAACAATGGTAAGCCCCAGAACTCTTTGAATTCCAGCCAATCTGGCGGTCAGCGCCCCACATTCAATCATCTCGGTGCAGATGGGAAAGTTCTTCCCTCTGAAAGGGAAAGAAGGATGAAGAACAACCTTTGTCTCTTCTGCGGTGGTAAGCATCAGATTGCTGACTGCAATAAGTGAAAGGCCCGAGAATCGAAGGGCCATGCTGCCAAAGTTGAAGAAACCCCCGAAGCAACCATTGAGGTTGTTGAAGAGGAATCGGAAAACTAGTCTGCAGCTCTTGTTCCCCGGTACGAAACGCGAGCTGCGTTGATCAGGTTCGTACCTCACCTGGGGAGTTATATCTCAATGCATCCGCTCTTTCTTCCATTGAACGATCTCTTGTAATATCATTAACTACTGAATTTCCGTTATCTGATTCGGCCGCACCGGCTGAACCTATTTCTGCTCTTCTTAAATTTTCTACTCTTGTTGATTCTGGTTCTACTGACTCTTTCATCGATACTCGTTATGTTTCTCAAAATTCTATTCCTACAACCAAAATCTCTCCTGTTAATCTTCATCTCTTTGATGGTTCATTATCTTCTAAACCCATTACCGATATGGCGAATATTGCCGTTCGGTTCCCTTCTGGCAAGCTGCTTCTATTGCCCTTTTACGTTACTCATTTAGATTCATCTGGTAAAGCAGTATTAGGTTACAGTTTCTTATCCCGCTACAATCCGTTGATTGACTGGGCATCTCGAAACATTACGTTCCGTAACACTTCACACTTTGATTCTCCACAGATGTCTGTGCCTTCTGCCACCAGCACTGTTGATGCAAAGGTCGCTGTTCTGTTACCGGAACTTTTGCCGTCGGTTCTACCGACAATTCTGGAAACTCCTTCCGGGGACTCACTTTGCTCTCGCTCTCGCTCCCGCTCTCGGACGTTATAGGCCAAGCCCCTCTCGTTTAAATTTCCCTTTGAACCCATCTATTCCTATCCTACGGTCTCTCAATTCGCTGCTCAACTGGAAACTCCTGAGGTCAACATTGCACTCGTCAGTGCTGCAGTCTTTCACAGGGCTTGCAAGTGTCACGAAGCGGCAGAGGCGGAGTGACTAACGGAGCGGGAAAGCGGAGTGACTAAGCAGAACGGTGAGGCGGAGCAACTGGACAAGGCAACAAGGCGGAGCGACTGAGCAGAACGGCGGCAGGCTGGTCCCAGATAATGACAGAGATATATTGAGTATCGTAGTCATAGGTAATAATAAGTAAGCACATACCTGGTCCCAGATAATGACAGAGAGGTCAAGATAAGGGACCAGGCTGTGGAGGGTTGGCTATATATACATAATCCGGTCTGCGAGAAACAACGATGTAATACTGTACAGTTTAGGAACAAGGAAGGAGGTGGAAGCCAGTAGAAGGAGAAGATGGGTCAGGTGGATCAGTAATCAATGGATCAGTAATCGATGGGGGTTTGACAGTGATGGGATGATGTATCATACAAGTAAAGGCGTCGAGACGGTGAGAAAAGGAAAATGATAGGGGCTGCGTACTTTATGACAGCAAGGACGCTGGTATGGAACCTATTCTTCTTCGTGCTATTCACTCAGAGGTCGTGGCCCGCGCCACCGACCGCTCCTCCACCACTCCTACTGTCCCTCCACTTCCTCATTCTATTCCAGAAGAGTATGCTGAGTTTGCAGACGTCTTCAATGAGATTGCTGCAGATTCATTACCTGAACACAGATCTTACAACCTGAAGATTGACTTGGAAGAAGGCGCTTCGCCGCCTCTCGGTCGAATTTATCCTCTGTTAGTTGCCCTCAAAGACTTTATTGACAAACAGCTGGCTACTGGTGCCATCACCCCATCTTCCTTGCCTCACGGCGCTCCGGTACTCTTCATTCCCAAGAAGGATGGGAAACTTCGGCTTTGCATGGACTTCCGCGGTCTCAACTGTATCCCCAAGAAGGACCGCTATCCTCTGCCATTGATCTTGGACCTCCTCGACACTCCAAAATGGGCTAAAATCTACACCAAATTGGACCTCGCTCACGCTTATCATCTAGTCAGAATAGCAGAAGGTGATGAATGGAAAACCACCTTTCGGACCCGCTACGGCTCCTACAAATGGAAGGTTATGCCGTTCGGCCTTACGAACGCACCTGCTGCTTTCCAACATTTTGTTGATGACATTTTCTCTGACATGCTAGATGTTTGTGTCATCGTCTATCTCAACGACATTCTGATTGACTCCGACATGCTGGAGGAACACCGAGAACACGTCAAGGAAGTTCTTCAGCGGTTACGGAAACATCGGCTT